GAACTGAACTTGAATTGACATTTTTAACGTTTTTGTGATAGATTAGGGTAGACAAAGATGATATATCACAGCCTTATAACTAAACTAGATGCGACCTATTTTGGATTTGGGTATCCGGAAATCCATAGGAACCGAAACGCATTTAATCTTAATGGCTTTTTATCTTTCGGACGGAATTTGTTAATCCTACCACCCATTTAAATTTCAGAGTTCCAGGTAAAGTCCAAAATATTTAGAAAGTAGATCAATTGATTAAAAACATGTTGGACCTGGTGGGAATCGAACCCACGACCTGTGGACTATATACCTATACTGCTACCATTAGACCAACGAACCCGTCAAGTGCGTTTGTATTGGTAATATTACGTAGTTTGTTGATTGAAAGTTATAAATATCGCATAATCAAGAAAATCGTAAGTTCCGATTGCAAAACGGCGTTTAAAAAAACCGAGTATTACCTAATAATGCTAACCTAATTGCTTTATTTGAATCAATATTCAGAAGTCTCGTTTCCTCTACCGCCTTTGTGGGCTGTGGCCAAATTCTACATTAAGTTCAAATCGTTTTGGTCTTCGTCTGACTCACTTTCATTAATTACTTTAGTCACGGTATATCAAACGTACTTACATAATTAAATAATTATGGAGGGAATTCTCTTTTCATTAATAGTGTGACGTGTATTCTAAAAAAAAAGTTTGTATAGACCGTTTATATCACACTAGCTGTGTCAGCGACTTCGTCCAAATCGTCGTCCTTTACAAGTTAAGCTGTTACCCACGGTCGCGTCCCGTTGTTCCTCCAGTCAATCTTAAAAGATACACATATAGCGTCGCGGACATTTCTTTAAATAATTTAAAGAGAAATCATTCTTATGTACATATTTTTTGGATTTCTTGACCCGTTTTCGCAGCGTACGCATCGGAAACCCACAACAATGAATAATTTTCCTCTATAAATCCTCTAACCAACACAAAATAACGTTTCAATTCGCACCAGTAGTTCTAGAGACTGGCGCGTTCAAACAAACAAACGATGTCTTCAGCTCTATATATTATTAGTATTTAATATTGATGTTTATTCATGTGAGTACAACATAGTATAATCGGGTTGTCATATTAAATTTTTTTATTCGTGTTTAAGACTATCAAATGTCATTATGTTTACTGAATTATTTGTTAACCTTTCCTCTGTTTTCTTAACATAAATTAAGTATGACAATTAGCAAGCTCTCGTCTCACATAGTCATTGAACAATAAATGTAAACATAATCTTTTGTTTGCAATGCAAATAAATAATATTGACTTAAGGTGACACAAATCATTCTATAGATATCAATTTTACAGTATTGTACGTTATGGTTGTTAAAAACTACTTTTTATAAATGGCCTTATTAAATTATGTATTTAGATTAACTGCGAAATAATAATTGCCTTTTAAAGCATCTTATCTAGACTGTAACCGTTTCATTTAGCCTTTAGCAAAATAAATTGTTTAAAAATCCTTATTCCAATTAAAAAGTAACCAAGCCGCAATTAATGAAGAAGTTTACATCATTTAATTATCAATGTTGGCAACACAATCTACAACACAGATATACTATAATATATAGATACACTATAATTGTGTACAAAAACAAGCGTTCCTTATTATTGACTTAAATTGTAACGGTTTACTCTGGTTGTGTGCTGGCTATTCCTTATGGGTGATAAAATAAAATGACCTCGATCTTGAATGATAGCAAATTGCGAGGGTGACACGAGGACAGAATGCAGAAGCGTTGTGGAGATCAAGTTTTTATTAGGCGCGATAAGGCAGGACTGTGGGAACTGAGAACATTCTCATAACCGTGCTAATAAAATTGTTAAAATCGTGTATTTCAAAGATATTTGCGTTTTAATTTAGACCATTCTAAATTGAACCTCATTGCTGCTAACCTTCGATTGAGACACATAATAATATTCAAAAAGTTAATTGTCAAAAATCATGCCAACTTTGACAGTTATTTGGAACGCGCCAAGGTTATAATGGACCTATAGCGCCTGTTTGAACGTTACCTCGTTTTTAAAAAACTTATTTGAATACATTTTTTTCATTTTGGACATCACATCACATGGACACAAGCGGGACGTGAACCAGCACCCGTTCCGTGCAAATCCTCAAACCAATTGAGTCACCGTGAGTGATTTTTAATTCCTCTTTTAATTTGCAGTTTTATTTATTCAAACGTGTTACCAATCGCCATTAATATGCATATTTTCAATTATGTATTTACAGTTCGGTAACATAACTACTTAATATGAATGAATGGTGTAATCTATACGTAATATCTAATCGGATATCTGTTATCCTACAATTTGTAATGTTTAAACACCGAAATTGAAAGGGTAGGAAACGGCATATTTTATCAACATCCAACACCCTTTCGCCTTTGTTTTATTAGTGTCGCTGAAACATAAACATTAGTGACTCATTCGCTGTTATTCATTGATTTTGTTGCGTGATATAGCGGTATAAAACACATCGAAGTTATAACTAAAATTATACTTCCCTATTAGTCATACAATAACTTAGATATTTACAAAAAAAACAAAAGTGTGTTTGCTTGTCTGTCCTACATACAAGATTTTACTACATAACCAAAAATAAGGTTTTTGACATACAGTTTTATGGATGAACTGAGAACAACACAGACTACCTACTAGTATACTAAAATGGTTGGATTTTACGTCCATTCTTTTACGACGAAAACTTTTACCGTGTATGGTAGTAATTGTCTCTCCTAAGGTCCTGCGCGCAATTTCGTTATCAGCATATTATCGGTCATTGTATGTCCGGTAGACAATTGTCAACTTTAACATGTTGATTTATGCTTATCTGTATGTAGTTATGTTTTTAATTACTACCAGTATTTAGAAAAGGCTTCAAAGAATTGTTTTCGTATTATCCTAATTATCACATTAAATCCAATGCTGATGATACGAACGTACAAAAAAGGCACATTCGTTTCTAATTTACAGGAAATTGTACCTCCGTAACTACAAAAGAAAAGCTAAATATTATTTCAAAGATTCTATTCGTAGATATATAATTGATCGTTATGATTAAAAAATATTGATATAAATATTAATAGCGTTCATATAGAAATATTTTAGATTCGTATATAGAGTCCATAAAATAGTAAAGCGTATTTTTAAGTGGAATCTCGATTGACTAAACTTCATTCCTTTTTAGTAGTCTGACTGTCTAAAACAGAATACGATCGGTTTTTTTTCTACCAAAAACCTAAAACAAATAAAGCTGCGACTTATGGTCTATTTTGCTATATCACTTTTTAATATGTATTCCCTTTAAAATCAAGTAATTCTTATTTATTATGCTCTATAAAAAATAAAATGTTAATAAATGTGGAAAAATGATTATTATAATTACACATAGTATGACTGACTAACCGTTGATCGTCCAGGTAGGTAAACATACTTACCTACACGATAGTGCGTAATGTGGTGAGTAATTTACGAGAAACTAGTGGTTTTATTCAGATTGTTAATGACGTCTATTTACTTTAAGACGTCCGGAACAGTCACAAAAAGGTGTTCAATTCTGCTTCTAAATAATTGAAAATGTATAATAGTTGTATTGTCTGTAGTTTATGCGTACACATTCAAATGAATCACTAATTTCACGAAATACATTAGCACTGCTTTTTTATATTTCAGATACCTGTATAATAAAGTGTTTTATTTAAATATACATATAAATTTAGTTTAAAAAACATGGTAGCTAAATTAGCAATACGATGGATGAGGAAATATATTTTTTAATACTTTTTAATTAAATAATAGTCGAAAATTAAACTATCGTATGAAATATCTAGACTTTTTCTGTTTGGATTGTTCGATCAGAAAGAAACCTAAATGTTATGTTGCCAAGAGTGTAGGTACCTCTAATCTTAGACAGCTTGTATCCTTAAAATATTTATAAAGTAACTTCTTATTTCAGCACTACTAGATTTATTTGGCAAATTGCTGGGTTATTAAAACACTTTTGATAGCATTATAAATAATTTATAAATTGTAGACGAATACGCGTCATAAAACAGCAATACCATTTACGAAATAGTTGTTTTTCTAATGAATATTACAATAGCAACCATTATAAATAGTATGGAAAGTTGTCCTGTATAACGCTAGCCAAAAACAGCCGTGTGAATTCAGAAGTCTCGTGTGATAGTTGAAAACGAAAGTCATTAACTCATGCGTAATAAACATTATCATAGTTAATATACTTAAGTATACTTGTAAACACTATTTTCTACCATTCAATATTGTCTCCCACGTTGATGCGCTTGCGCATGAAACACAACGCGAGCTAAAAACGTGCACAGACAAAACACGCAACTTTACTGTTATTTTAATGTATATATTTTAATATATATATTTTAGCCATAAAAATAAAGATATTAATATTAAATATTATCTGTATTTTACGCGAATAATACACATTTTGATTAAAAAAACAACGGTTTAAAACTGCAAAGCATCTAAAACGCCGTAGTTAAAATAGTTTGTAAATAAGTTTAACTAATATATTCCCCGTTTTAAACTGTTAAAGTGTTTTGTATAAATATTGGAAATGATATTAAATTTGTTTTGTTTGAATTATAGTTGACTTTATTAAATTACTTATCATTAACTTTTTTTGGTATGATACGCGATATTAATGCACATCGACTTATCATACACTTTTCAGAACGATAATTTTGTGACACCAGATAATAAGTCTATAACGACCTCAGTCGTAAAATTACGTAGGTAGGTGTATAAAATGAAATGATTATTCCAGATAGATAAGAAAAAATAAAACTACGTGGGTCGCAACTTCAGGCGAACCTGTTGTTCTTGACTAAGTCATTAGCAACCTCGTAAAGCGATATAAAATTGCTGGCTATACATTTGAAAATCACCTGTATCCCGCTCAACTTAGAAATCGGAGGTACTCACTTGTTGAAGGTCTGCTCGTATTGTTTTATTTCCTTTCTGGAGAATTCGTGGAACTCCGTGAACACATTGACGAATTTGTACTGTGGTTTGATCTCGACACCCTCCTCGAGTTTCTCATTTATCGCCTGTCTTCTCATCAGGATACCGCTGAGTTCTTCGGTGGCTGCCATTTTCGCGTAATAAAAGTTTGTGCGAATAGTGACGCGGATGTGCTGTCTTGTGTGCGACCTTAGCGATACTGGGCCCGGTCGGTGTTTGCCACTACGTACGAGCGACGTAGTTAAGATCGCGGCCCGCGGGGGAACCGGCGCGAGTCTATGCCGCGCAACACAACGCGTTCGCCGTTTACAATTATTTACAAGCGGATCGACAAATTACTATGAACACAAACCGCATATGGACAGTCAATGAATCGGATCTGAGCCACACGCGAAGATTTTTTTTGAATCAAAAATACATGTCATGTAATCTTAAGAGCAACGTATTGAATTGTATACTTAGACATTCAATAAGAAATATGTACATTTCGTAAGCAAAGCCAGGTTTAATATTCCGGATTAAGCGGTACTGCTTAAAAAGTCGAAGCTAAAGCTGTTAAATAATTATAGCAAAAAATGATTACAAAAGTGTGTATTTCAGCGACTAAAATCGTTAAATTGTTCAATTTTTATCATATGATTGTACGAATTTTAGTAAGAAATTCCTAAAACCCGATATACTGATGACACAATGCAAGGGCACGGAACGCTGTGGACGCCGGTTCGAGTCTCACCCGTGTCGTAATTTTTCTTGTATGTAAAATATTTATAGAGAGAGATTTATCTACTTTAATCTTAATCTCAGTCACTCGCGCACTCTGTTAATACGTACTTTTAATACTTTTGGTAAAAATATGTTCATTAATTTAATAATGTATAACTTCACATACTGAAATGTTCGTACAATTCGGATTCGGCTTTCGAGTGCTTCTCAGAATTTATGTGTCGTCGAATCACAACTTCCTCTTTATACAGAATTGATTTCAATTTTTATGAGTCCCTGGGCAAATTGGAAGGAAGTGACAAATGTCTTTTGTCGGTCCTCGTTACATGGTTAAAATAATGTGAGAATCGAACCGAGGATTATGTAACGAGCATGTGCACCACTTGATAGGCGATGTGATCTTATAACATCTAAGTAAGAATTGCGTTTTATGAAATATTTTTCTCGTTGGTTTAATGATAGCAATGTATGGCTAGTAATCGTCGGGTCGTTGGTTCGTTACCCTCCGTGTCTATTATATTTATGTCTTATAAAAATAGGATTATTGAAAATTCAACAGATTAAAAAGCCGTGATGTTTAATCGCGTGTGCCATATATATCCAAAGCGAAAATAGGACGACAGCGCATTTCGTTAAGATGTTATATTGCTTCCTTTCCATGCTTGCCTATCTTCCTAAGTCATAAAAACATTTTTTTTCGTGCTATAAACAGAGTCTTAGCTTTAACATATTATGCATCCTTTTTTTAATAATAGCACAAATATCAGTAAGATATTTAATTCCTTATAATTTTATATTATTCAATATGATAGGTAAACTTAAATATACTTACCTATTAATGACTTTATATATTAAATCAACAATAGATTCAAAATACCTACTTTCCCCTGCCTAATAATCAGTATAGTATGTCAAAACAGGAATAAAACCCAGTCTTAGCCTTCCGGAAACAACAGGAAGAATATTAATATGCCTTGAGCTTAGCTAGCCCATTTATAGTCCCTTTGTAAAAAGGCATGTTGCAGTTTACAGTATAATGCTCCTACTTTTTACTGTCACTACTTGACATCGGCGAAAGTGAACTCAAACAAGTTACTTTATCTCCACCATTTCCCACTTAATGTATACTAATATATGAGCGTGAAGAGTTTGTTTGTTTGAACGCGCTTATCTCAGGAACTACTCGTTCGAATTATTTTTCTTTTAGAGTTGAGATTATATGCTGGGGCCAATAGGAAGAAACAGTGGGAAATATGGAATAGATGTGGAATATTATTTTTCTTCGAGAGTTCCCGTTGCGCTGCCAAAACGGTTCAAGTTACTAAAACAATATGTATGATAGAATTTTTTCAAATCATCTAAAATGTCTACGACAGTATATCTTTAAACATTAACTTGCAAGAACGACCGAACGTGGACGACGTTGCTCAAACAGCTAGTATGTAGATGTGCATATACCCTTATGTGTGACTTAACTATTCCGTTCGTAATGACATAACTGTGTTCGTCCCTTTACTAGCAAAATTCACTAAAGTAATTTATTAATTTTGTGAAGCTCTTGAGACTTGTAGGCGGTTGTAATTTTAATATCTGGTAATTAAGCTAATTATGTAGGCGGTTTTAATTAATATAAATAAATTATAGCGATAAGGAAAGAGGACAAGAATGTTCCGTTTAGTAGTTAAACTCACATTGATGGTTTAAATTTTGCTTCTTTTGGGGAAGAGAAGGGGAACCCACTAGCACGACGTTCATTTGATGGAAGGTGTACCCCAGCCATATAACAACTCAACAAGATGCACTATCCACAGGCTAAGACACGATTTAACTTCACGGCTTTTACATTTTTGGCATCCTTTTCCGATTTTTCGATATTAGCAGATATCCCGATTCTCAGACAAAAAAAAACATTTCAGAGAATTTATAATTTAATTAAAAACATGTTAGACCTGATGGAGATCAGGTCTTGTCATTACGTTGGTTGGAAAACTGGCTGCCTAGTGTTGGCAACCTGGAGGTCAAAAATCCCGACGATTGTTTTCGGCGTCCCGTATGAGGGGTCCGGTACTGAACCTTTTGTATTGCTGTCGAATTGGACTTCATCTATCTGTAGGATATATTGTGTGTAAAAAATTTTTAATTAGCGACATATATCTACGTTGCTAAATGAAAACGACCGCATTTTTCATAATTACCAAAATGTTGTATTGGGACCGCGGCGCACCTGTAACATTTCAAATTTCAGTGTTAAATTTCGTTAATTAATTAATTGCATAACACAATGCCTCGTCATTTTATTATACGTTGTCACTCATCATAATTCTGCGTAACAATTTTAATTTCATAACTGGGCATATCTCGAGGGATGTCAGTTGTCATTAACGAATTAATCTATTTTGTAATGTACAAAAAACCGCCCGAGTTGCTTAAATACCGTTTAAAAGTTGGTTTGGTTAGACGTCATGAAGCGCAATTCCAGGTAAAATATTTTCCGCTTAGTCTGCAATTCAATGCACATATTAAAAGCAATTTTGACGGATTAAAACGCGTATTTTCGTTCTTAATCAGGACACGACGTTTCAGGGCAGCACCTGAATCGTTGGGTGGTAATTAAAAAAAAGTACTTTTTACATTTTTTGCACTTAACGTAAATTTTAAATATATTTTTAATGTAAACTGCGACTACATACTACTAAGAGTAGCGTTCGAGTCCAGGCCGTGTCGTTATTATTTTTAAATTTAACTTACAAATACCTACATAGTGGTTTTACTTTTAAAACGCTATTTATTCACACATAAATATTTTAAAAGTTCTTATAAATGTTGTATAGGTTGAGCGCTGTAAAGCTAAGCTCTGTGAATGTGAATGAACCAGTTTTTTTTTAAGCAAAAGAGGAGAACACGACAAACAAGCAAAAATAAGTAAACATTTTTAACGGTTTAAATCGCAAAATCAATTTTAACGATGGCCCCACGTTTTGTCTGTACTACTAGGTTAAACGACAGATAATTTTGAAAAATTTGGTGTACCAAAAACTAATATTATGGTGTAGTTCGTTAATTTTTTTTTTGCAGATCCAACAGTTTTGCAAATATTAACGATGCATTCACTGACAAAGCAACAGTCAACGGACATTTGGATCCATCTTCGCCGAAGAAAGGAAGACTTTCTTCCATAAAACAGTATTTAAAAGACTATTCTGCCAACTCTAATCTGCATGGCTTGAGATATATTGGGGAAAAAGAACGGACTCTTGTTGAGAAGTAAGATATAATGTACACAGAGAGAGCACGGTTGTCAAGAATAAAGATTTTTTTTTTATGATAGCGGAGGACATACCAACACGTGTTCACTTAATGGAAGATGAAATACCTTAGCCATATAACATCTAAACAAAAAGGAGTTTAGAAAATCAACTGACTGATACCGAAACGCGATTAAACTTCGCGGCTTTTTATCTGTGGACGGTGGTTCACGTCCCGGACGGAATTAAAATATTCCCGCCACCTAATATAATCATTTTAATTCAGCGCATTACTTAAACACGTTTAATTATAATGAAATAACTCTAGTTTATTTAAATAAAACACTTTAACGGTTTAAAACGCGATATATCAGTTACTATATAAATAACTAATATATTGCGTTTTAAATCGTTAAAGTGTTTTAGTAGACTAGAGTTAGTTTCCAAACTTCGAAATAGGCCGGCAGCGCATACATCATTCAGATGTTATGTGGCTGGGGTATTTCGCCAAGTGAACCACGTGCGTACCGGGACTTCTCTGTCATAAAAGGTCTTTTGCATTTTAGATTATTTTGGCTGTTCATGTTTTCGTTCTCCGTAATTGTCTGCGCAGTCCTGATAAGAAAAGTTTGGATCAAGTGGAATGAAAGTCCGGTTATTGTTAGCTTTGCCGAAACCTCTACTCCGGTGTGGCAAGTATGTACAACCTCTGAAAGTAAAATATAAACATACTTGAATATTATACACATATAATATATGTATACTTTTTTCTATTTTGTAGATTCCATATCCCGCGGTCACAGTTTGCATCGAAACAAAAGCTAAAGGGACGCTATTCAGTTTCACGGACTACTATCACTTATACTACAATGAATCGACGTATTTAAATTTAACTCAAGAAGAGTAAGTTAAAATACATATATATATTACTTGTCATGATTTTATTATACACTATATACTAACAATTCCGTGAGTCAGTTCCACTTTCCCAGATTTGGAGCTATGGGTAACAAATATAGCTTTGCAGTAGCCGTGGTCCCCACGGTGGCCACGATAGGTGCAAGACATCCGAAACTTCGAAAATAAATTAATAATAAGCTAACTTTACAGTAGTGCTAAGCTAATTTTAAACTAACACTTTAAATGCCTAAAAAAACTAAGTAATACATTTCAAGCTCAAACCGTTAAAAGTGTTTTATTTAGTTAACTCGTGTAAACTACAGACAATATTTAACAATAGTTTCGTTCCGCTCGTACAGAGGAGATTACTTGCTTCTTTTATTTTAGATTTTACAAAGATAATAAATTACTGATTTCTTTTGCAGGCGAAATTTATTTGAAGACGTTAGTCTAGTTTGCGATGATCACCTCGCACCGGCGAATGGGAGAAAAGTTTCAATGGCTAACGAAACTATTGAAAACTTGAGGCAGGTATGTCGTTTGCTTTTATTACTTAGACGTTAAGCTTTCGAGCTGGGTTGTAGAAGTTGAGGATTCTGTAATAAATAAGTCGCTGCCTAAAACCAATTAGTGATTGATTAAACAGACATACATTTATAAACCATAAGACAAACAAATTACATTTTGAACACAACAATTAAAAAAAAAACATACAGAATCATAAATTTGGGAGCAAAAAATTTAGATAGGTCTATTCATTACAAGTCATCCGCGGACCCAGGGTTTGATGGAATTTTAACCCCCCCACCCCAAACCCCCCTGAGCTAGTTCCAGGGCTTATGTGAAGCACTAATTGATTTTTGAAAGTCTTGACTTAACCGCGACTATGTGACCCCCTCCTACAGCCAGAGCTGGATCTGCCCTTGTTATAAATCAAACTTTCTTTGCAGGTAGCTCCCAATTTAACGGACGTATTCATGGCTTGCAAATGGAAGGACATTCCCCGAAATAGTTGCTCCGACCTGATAAGCCAGGTCATAACCGAGGAAGGATTTTGCTACACCTTCAATAGCTTGAGGGCTGAAGAGCTTTTTAGGACTGAGAAGTAGGTTCCTGCTATAGCTTTTGCTAATACTTACACACACACACGTCAATTCACACATAGGGCATGATGTATTTAACGAAAGGAGGCAGGCTTTAGGCTATAAAACATTTGGCTGCGTCGAATAGGAGTGAATAAACTGAGGAAAATGTGGAAATACGGCGAAAATATTGTTAAAAATCTTATTAATCTCTGACATCAAACCAAACAACTATGTATGGAAGAATGATTCTCATTCAAATGATCTAAAAAATGTCCGCGGCATATGTCTAACTAATAAGATCAATTCGCAAGTCTGCATTAAAATACGAAGCGAGCTTGTTGGAACAAAACTGGACTCTCTCTATATCTATACTAATATAGCTTAATTGATGCCCAAAATAACGATTCTCAGGGACAAGTCGCTGACACAGCTAGTAAAAATATTTTTACAAATATTTATGAGATCTATTAAGCTTTGTATATAATTATTTTTCCTAACAGCCTTCACTCCGATTATCCATATTCAGAAGCTATAAAAACCATGAATGAATCTTGGACCCTTGAAGAGGGTTACCCACGGAACTCTCCACTCGAAACTTACCCCCATAGAGGTTCTGTGAGTACCTAAGTAATTAACTATCAAACGAAATGATGATGGTAATATAATATATATATGATGGTATTATTATCGAACAAAAGGCAGTTTGAATATTTTTCGTTTAAATATATAGTGAAATCCTGTGTCTCCATGTCTGTGTCGTGGGATATGGGACAGACATATTTCTGTTACCGTTTCACTCATTGGTTTAATTTACAAGAAGTTAATCAGACCTTGGTGTTCTGACCAACCGAAACAATTGACTGTTTCCCAAGGATTCGAACCCAGTACCTCTCGCGCTATGCTTTGCTACTACAGTGGCGGCTTGACCTACTTATTTATCTTTAAAATTTCCCGACATTAATTTATGTTTTTCTATTACCAGATTTAATCAATATAATATCCTGTCTATAGTTTACGCGAGTAGTACACATTTAAATAAAACACTTTAACGTGAATACTGTCTATAGTTTACGCGAGTAGTACACATTTAAATAAAACACTTTAACGTGTTTAAAACGCGATATATTAGTTAAACTTATTATTAGCCGAAACGTCGGGCCGAAGTTAAAAATCATTTCCAAATAAGTTTAACTAATATATCGCGTTTTATACCGTTAAAGTGTTTTATTTAAACAGGCATCATATATCATATATTTTTGATTTTCTCTCTGGTAGCTAATAAAGTTCTTAAGCGCCTAAAAATAAAGCCATACAGTGTTAACAAGGCTGTGGTGGAACCATTGAAAGCTGGGATTGTGCCAAATAATGGCGCATAGCTATAAACAGCAGTGCAGGTTTTCGATCTTTATTTGGAAACATCCGAGACGATTACCTATTCACGAAGTACATTGAACTTTCCGCTCGTCAGAGTTGTGTTACGTGTGTTTTAAAATATTTTCAGGGTTATGGTGCGAAGGCGGGTTTGACATTTTTATTAACGGCTAAAGAAATAGACTTAGATTACCTTTGTAAAGGTCCTGTACAAGGTTATAAGGTAAATATGTATATATTATCTACATTTTTATGAAGGCTGAAGAGTTTGTTTGTTTTACTATGCTAATCTCAGGAACTAACAAAAAAAAACGAGTGCATGATAAAAATAAGTAATACGTACACCAACCCGTGCTGGGCCAAAATCGTGGGCTCTAATGTCATCTCTAATCAAAGGGAAAGGCTTGTGCCCAACATTGGAACACTTAAGATAGAAAATCAATAATCTAGACACAAAATGTTTATTCAAACCTTTAGAATTGCTTACTTAATTACTATGAATTATATATAGATAAGAGTTATTTTTTGTCTTAGATTCTCTTACATAACCCTGCGGAGCTACCGCGTCTTTCCCAACAATACTTTAGGGCACCATTGTCCCAGGAAGTTGTGGTGGCTGTCAAACCGAAAATGATGACCACGTCGGAGGGTTTGAAACCTTACGATCCGCACAGGTAAGACGAGAATTGAAAAGATGAGACGTGAAAGATCTTTTATTGAGACTTCTACTATTAAGACGTTTCGTGCTAATCTAAACTATATATAAAACTAAGCCATCTGTTTGTAGTTAAAAATATATCAACTACGTTTCGCGTTTTAAACAGTTAAAGGTGTGTTCTTCATGTAGCACTCTAGTAAATTATAGACCACTAGCTGTGCCGCGGAATAGTGACTTGGAGTAGAATTTTCATTATAGAGGCTGTTTATTAATTTATGTAAGGGCGTATTTAAGGCAGCAAATCTATGGTAAGTGCTACTTTGCCGCAACACTCTCACCTCGCATCACTCTAACTCCCACTCTCATCCCTACGATCACTCCTACTCCTACGCCCACGCCCACGCCCACTCCTATTCCCAAACGGCCAAAGAAAAAAAGTTTCATTGTTCTAGTTTCAAGCATACCATCCAGTTCGGTCCCACTATCTTCTTCAAGTAGTCGTCCCACCTTTTGAACGGTCATTCCCTTACAATTAAGTTTAACTTTATCTCGACGATTCGAATGTTTTGCAGGCACCACAAATATTGTATATGAGTGAAATAAATTTCGCGTTTTAATTCGTTAAAAGTGATTTATTTTAATATGTACACGCAAAAACTACAGACAATAGGAAATCTCTTTTAAACTCGTTTGGAGTCATGTTAAAAATATTCTTTGCTTAGGTAGATTTTTTCTTTTTAGGCGACAATGCTATTTCCCAAGTGAAAGATATCTTCAATACTTCAAAGTGTACACGCAAGCCAACTGTGAAATGGAGTGTCTAACCAACTTTACCTTCGCCAGATGCGGCTGCGTACATTTTGGGATGCCACGTAAGTCGGCTGCACAAAATTCCAGTTGATGCAAACGGATCTCTTAAATTAACCTTTTCTTCATTTACAGATGGCTCGAATATGTCAATTTGTAATGCTGGCAGTATACAATGCATTAAAAAAGCACAAAGTAAGTTTTATCGCTTTATCTGCGTAATTAAAAAACAAATTTTATGAAAAAAAATCTTGATGTAAGGCGAAATATCTTAGCCCTATGACGTCCATTTGAGATGCACTCTCAATCTATTTTGGCTATAGTAAACCCGTTTCCCCTCGTGGGGCATGGGGCGAACACATTTCTGTGTCCGTTTCACTGATCCCCGGCCGAAACAATGTATTGTTTTCCCAGGATTCCAACCCATGACCTTCCGCTCTTAACACAATGACGTTTAACCATTTAGCTACAGAGGCGATCAATCTATTTTGGCTATAGACGTTCGGAAATCCACAGACTGAGGCCAAAACGCGGATTTACACCGCGAGGCTTTTTGATCTATGCCAAATGTTTCGTGACCCAAACGGAATTACGATATAACAACTACTTATTTAACGACATGAATTTCCATAACGTTTATGACTTACAGAAATCGAACCCGTATCCGTTTAAGCATTTATTGAGCCATTAAGCCTCTCAAAATACCTACTTTATTGTAAACCTTTATAATGTAATAGCAATGCAATGATCATGCCACACAAGAATGTGAATTGCGATTTTTGTTCGCAAATGTCATAAACATCTAGTAATCGTGATTGAATGTGACCTTAGACGTATCGAGTCAAAGTATGTCTAGATTTTACATCGTACATAGGTATATTTATGTGTATAGCTCTCACAATAGGAACTGGTAATCTAGATCTTAACGTCACATTATTTATCGCTATAGTAATTGAGAATTTATAAGGCTTACATATCCCGGCGTAATTTCTAAATTGACTGGGTAGCTCAATTGGTAGAGCAATAGCACGGAACGCTGACGATGCCGGTTCAAGTCCTGCCCGAGTCGAATTTTTATTTTCAATTTTTAAAATAACATATTTTTTATAACAATATTAATAGCAATAACACTTAGTAACCTAGATTTTTACGTCACATTATTGATCGCTATAATATTAGTAAACATATTTATTTAAGTCTCTCTATAGCTAAATGGTTAAACGAACCGAACCCGGGGAAATAATCTATTGTTTCGATCGGGCAGGGCACAGAAGTCCGATCAATTACTCTGTAAATAAAACCGATCAGTGAAACGGACACAGAAATATGTTCGTCGTGTGCGCCGTATGGTTATGGGATTTCAATTTAAGGCATACAATATGTTCTGTTAAAATCGTCAAAAAAGGTCTCACTAACAAAATTTTCGTTCACAATAATGTTGTTATTACTATGATGTAATGTAAGTTTTTTTATAAACCTTTTATTTTTTACTTTTCATCTAGATAAATACTTATAAACTTTTAATTTAGATACTCTTGACGCTTTAAAACGCGAAATGTAACTTTTAATTTATTTTATCTACGACCCGACGCCATGTAACCAGTGCTGTACAAGGAACTTAACGTCGAGTTGTAGTTAATTATAATATATTAATTTATATATTTAACGTTGTAAACCGTTAAGTGTTTTATTTAACTATGCACTACTCGCGTAACTACAGATAATACTTTTCATGACAATTCAGTGGAACTGGTGACAGTCGAGATTAAAACGGGCCTCGCTGAAGAGGATTCGGATCTCAACGGAACACTTGGTGATGCACGGAAGGTGGCGGCCGAATGCAAGTGCCTACAGGCGTGCACCTCTATCGAATACGAGGCGGAGACATCGCAGGCTGATTTCGACGGAAAAGCGCTGTTCAGGGCGTACCATTTGCCTAACGATACAGTTGAAGAAGAGTAATTTACAGTTTCTACTTTTCATTCTACATCTTTATTTATTTATGATGAAGGAGGTCATGGGGCTCACTCGATTGTAGGTAAAATACCCTGGCTATATAACATCTAAAAAAGATGCGCTATCGACCCATTTTTGCTTTAGATATTCGGAAATTCAGACTGAAGCCGAAACGCGATTAACCTTCACGGCTTCTCCGTCTGTGAAGGGTGGTCGTCACCCGGACGGAATTTCGATATTCTCACCACACATTTAATATCCAGATTTACAGTCCAATATGTTTCAGAAAAACTATAGATCAATTAGACAAATGTTGGACCCGGTGGAGTTCAAACCGACTTTGTTTATGATAAACTACTTTGCTTGATTATTATTAGTCATAATTTCTACTATTAGACCAACGAGCCCGTCAAATTTTATTTAATAATAATGAAAAATTAATTAATAAGAAAAATGTAGGACCCAATGAGGATCGAACCCTCAACCCGGTGATTATTAGTAGATAGTAGTTAAAGAGTATAACACCAAAAAGCTCGTCAACGGACATATTCAAAGCTTTCTAAAGCATAACATGACTATTTGAAAAACTAAAAAAAATCATAGTGGTTCTTGATATACAACCTTATGATAGACAGAATTAAAAGTGATAGTAATCAGGTCCGTACTCCGTAGGAGGAATTGTTCGGTGTTTCTAATAGGAAATAATACTAATAATAGCAATGGGGCCCCAATTGGAACCTTAAAAGATCTATCCTGTCTGTCTGTAGATACTGTCTTTTCTACTAAATCTATTCGACGTACCGTCCGTTGTATTTGTTATTTTTTTAAAGACAAAATACATTACGTGCTTTATCTTTTCAGTCTGCTATTTTCTCGAGTGTTCGTGTTCTTCAAAGAAGCTCAGTTTATTACCTCCCGGAGATCAGAGCTGTACGGCCAGACTGACTTTCTCGCCAACTGCGGTGGATTACTTGGACTTTTCATGGGCTTTTCCATACTGAGTTTCGCCGAAATATTATACTTTTTGACACTAAGGTAAGAATTTTTATCTAGCAAAATTTAGAATTAACTAAAAAAAAAAAACAGATACCAAACACAGAATCTTTTAGAATTTCGTTATCATAATGTGATTAACTTAACGTTTCGGTTCAATGTTAGATCAGTTTAAAGGCATAACGCTGCTCCATTGCAGGTTTTAAAGATAGTTAAGAGGGATCTAACATAAATTAATTAACAGTTTGAAACGCGACATATAACTAGTTAATTAAAATAAGCCTTACTATCATTTCGTTTTTGACACACTTTAAGTCATTTTTCAACGTACAAATCGCGTTAACTGGTCTCGACTGCATATTGTAGTTAACGAGATAAGCCTGCCTCACGTACTTTTTGGGGCACGGATGATGAACCATTACCTTCGGATTTGAACCTCTTGACCTCGACATTTGCAACGTACGAGGTCCATCGAGCTTCGATGGTTTTTAAAGAATAGGACTTTGTTTTATGTGTATGTCTATACAAAGTATTTATTTAATCATATTAATTTATTTTTTTCAGACTGTACTGTGTGATATGGCAGAAAAAGCGCTCTAAAGCGAAGAATGATCTAGAAAATAAACGAAGTGCCTAGGTCCTAAAAGTAACCTAAAAGAAGGCTTCTATGCATTGATAATTCTTTAAATAAACAATACTTTTTCAAATTTATTACAATTATCCTTTGCACTAAAGATTTTTCTCGTGTGGATTTAATAAGATGTGTTTATTAAATGAAACTCTCCTTTGATATTTTTTATTTTATAGTTAAAGCTAAACAGATTATAGGTCGCGGCACAGATGTTTAGCGCTGAACGGTGTGAAGAGGGGATGGTTGCGCCTCGGGACAATCGCGCACGTAATTCATTTCAGAAAACGCGACTGTACTCGGGAACCAATCAACACTAGCGCACATGACGTTTACTCGCCCCGCGACCGCTTCCGCCCCTTTGATACCTTAATTTTGACTACTGCGCAGGATTCGTTAAGCGCTAAAGATCCATGTCGCTTCTTATACTTATACATATAGAGCAAGGCAAAGACAAGTTATCAATTCCAACTAAATACATGACTTCTTATATTTAGAAAGAAACTAATTACATAACAGACATTTTTTACTATAAGTACATAATTATAATAAAGTGAAGGGAAAATGCGACAATATTACTTGATCGATTAAATGGTTAACTTTTAAACAAAACCCTTTTATCGGTTTGAAACGGGAAATATAATTCGTTGACTTATTTTAATTCCGACCCGACTTCGTAGGTTGCTTTAATTCTCGAGCCGTAGTTAAAATATATTAAAAATAGGTTAAGTTATATTTCACGTTTTAAAAAGTAAAAAGTGTTTTATTTGAATGTGTGCTGCTTCTCGTAAATATTTTAAATTGTATTTTTGTAAAAGTCAACAAAGTATTGTCTATAGACAATACTTTGTTGACTTTTACAAAAATAGTAGTATATAATAAGAGAAATTTATATTAAAGTATTAAAATAACTACTGTGCCGGGATTCGTTCGCGTGGATAGTGACTTGGGGTAGAATTTTTAAATATTTAGGCTGTTTATTAAATTATGTAATTCAGCCAATTTATGTTGCAATGCTACTTTGCCCAACACTCTCACCTCAGATAACTCCTACTCTAACTCCCACTCCCAGTCCCACCCCCACCCCCACACCTATTCTCAAAAAGCCAAAACGAAAGTTTCAAATTTCTATCTTCAAAAACCACGAATTTTCATACAATCTTTCACCCCCCCCTTTTTACCCCTTACAACCCCCTTTTCGAAAAAAGTAGCCTATGTTCTTTCTTAGGGTCTAGACCATATGTGTTCCAAATTTCCTTCAAATCTGTTAAGTAGTTTTGGCAGACAGACAGACAGACTTAGTTTCCTTATTTATAAGTATATTAAAACTTATATTTCAATGGAAGATTCTTTTACACATTCATTAAATTTCACAATCATCTAAAATTAAAAACTACTCAAAAATACATTAGGTTACAAGTAAAATGAATTTGCCTTAAATATTTAATATTTTAATTGTTTTAACAAACTCAAAATACCTCTACAAATTTTTCTAATTTACCCGATAGTACATATTTAAACAAATGAGGTTTAAAACCCGAAATTTAATTAGTTAAATATTTCTTATATATTTTACTGGTTACAACGGTAGTAATATAATTATACATTTCGTTCAAACCGTTAAAAGCGTTTTTTGAATTTTTTTGTTTGTAGTAATTGAGCCAAAAATAACTGAAACGTCTTGACAGCTTAAATCAAGAGCCGTATTTATCTTCATCAGATTCAAAATCTTCTCTTGTCTTTAACGGTTCCCACAGCTGGGATTCTTAAAAGAGTATAGTACTTAATTATTACGATGGCCAATTAATGTATAATGGTAGATAATACATATCGTCTAACTACTATATAGCGTATTTTTTCTTACTTGTCAAAATACCACAACAAATATGGCCGATTTCAAACAATAGAGAACCAGTGATGGCCTTTTATGACACAAATCGTTGTCACAGATGGCACATGGATAACGAAATATCGCTTATATATAGACCAAAAGACCTCAATATTCAAACTCACTAAGACGACCTTTTTGTAAAAAAATTGTGTAAACTCGATGTTTGTAACACTTTTCAGCTATCGTGCATTAGTGAGACCTCTCGCTTCTGTTGTGGTTGACTTTACTTACTTCCCATCCTTATTGAAATGTCAAACTAAAGGAATTTTAATCTGTCCATTTACGCAAATTAATTTTCAGTTTAATTAAATTAAAATATTTAAATTTAAATTTTAGTATAATGTGCATCAAAGTGGTTTTAATGTAAACCTCATAAGAAAAACACGATTTCAATAAAATTGTATTTGTTTAGAAATGCCAAGTAAGTAAAAATACACTATATATCTTACACCAGTGAGTATCAGAGGTATTTTGGAACACTCCTGCAAGCTGAACATCTGACCTTTCGAAGGTACGTAATACTAGTCCAGCACGGCGTTCCTGCTGATAAGATTTAGTTCTTGCGATGTGCTCGGTTGCGGCGCATGTTGGTGTGACATTGTGGGCAGTACCACTTGCCTTTTGGTGGCGCTGTTATCCCCACACACGGGTAGTGGAACCATTCGTACGGACACTGGAAAATAGTATAGTATTATTTTTAATGAGATCGATACTACAATTTAAAGCTGAAGAGTTTGTTTAACGCGGTAATCTCAGGGACTACTGCTTTGAATTGTTTTTTTTTTTGGGTTGATTGGACTATTTATCGAGAAAGGTTTTATGCTATCAGGCTGAGATTAATAGGAATCAAAATATAGTGGGAAATGTGGACAAAAGCGTTGACAATTAATAATTTTTTTAACGATTCCGTTGCGTGTTCTGCGAAAACGGTTCAAGCTACCGAAAAACAATGTTTGAAAGAATTATTCTCCTTTAAATGTTAACTTTCAAGAACCATTTTTAGAGTAATAACATTTAGTAGACAGACTTCATATTATGGCAAAATAATGTTTTCCAGGTCAGCTGGTGTTACATATTTTTTATGGTTGCGAACACATCGGTGTTCATTTGGTAGAAGGTGAAATACAACAGCCATATAACTCCTAAACAAGAACATTATTCAAATCGAACCTCCTGGACCAGGAGATTTTATAATATTCGTATACATCCTATTGATAATGCGTGAGAGGTGCATGTATCAATTGGTTGAAAAAAACTCTACGATGACGTGTAAGACGTAGTAACTCAATTGGTTACAGCAACAACACGGAACGCTGTAGATGCCAGTTCAAGTCCTATTCCCAGTTCCAATTTAAATTCGATTTTAAATAATATTAGTACAGATAAGACTAAATTCTAAGTCGTTGGTACATACATCGTGATTGTCACAGGCCACCATATCGCCATAGGAGACCTGGTTGCAGATGCAGTAGCGTGGTTCGTTCGGGTCGTAGGCCCATTCCTCCTCCATCGGCTCTTCTATCACAGTTTTGTTCACCGTATTATTCATAGCACTGAAAAAAAAAAACATTTTATTATTACACTTCTATTGTATACGTGAATTCAATAATTATTCTAAGAAGAGTAAAAGAACTACTCATTTTATCGGAACATGAACCGACTACAAAAATAATATTGGAATTTGGCAAGAGGCTCATGTAGATACTAATAAATCTATGAAATACTTTTCTAACTATTCTGTACTGCGCAGGAGTCGCGTCGGCTACACCAGGGGCGTAGGCTTGTTTATGTTTAATCACCTGTGTTCTATTAGGATTTTGTTTTTATTTCCTTAGTATGCAAAATGTTTTAAACTTACACAAGGGTCGGAGATGATGACCGACTTGCAGCAAGCACGGCCTGCTGTGCATGCAGGGTTGATCCGCTTGATGAATAACTGCTCTTCCTGTTCAAAGGATGTTTTAATGTCATATGAAAATAAAGTTTTTAAAAAATTTAGTAAGTTGGAGATATAAGTTTAAAACGCACTTTGGCCCAGCGAACACGGCTGCTACAAAATTGACGGGCCTACTAAGTATAATAAATTGTAAATAATGTAACTAATATATATATTTCGCGTTTTAAACCGTTAAAAGTCTTTATATTTAAAATAGATTTATTTTATGCACGGAGAACTTAAAAATAACTTACTTCTGCTTATGCCGCTTGTTAGAGGAGGAGGAAGAGTGGGGCGTATGCGCAGTGGTGTGGTGCGAGTGAACCGAACTCTGTCCGTGAACCCCAGACACGACTGAACCGGCACCTGATAATCAATTTAAATATAGATTAACATTGAAGTATTTCCTTTATGTGTATGAACTGTCCACTGAAGCGTTTTCAGTGGCTTATTTGTGAGGGTACTGCAGTTACCTAGTTATTAAGTACCGGTCTGAGAAACCTCATAACAAGTTTACATTTACCTTGAGTTAGGAACTAGGAAGTAACTGGCTTTAAAAATAGTTTTTATAGGTGCAACAAAAGCTCTCAAATTTTATAACTCCCTTATATCAGTCCACCATAAGGTGTTACGTATCAGAAAAGCTGTCCTTTATATTAGCGCGGTCAACGCGGTATATAAAATAAGTCTTCAAATACAAAATAATATAATATTCTAAAAAATAATATAAATACAGATTGTACATTACCGTGGTCGTGATGGGTGGAATGATGCGCGGGGTGAAGGGAATGATGAGAAAGGTCACCGGCGACGGCTTCGTACGACGCTTTCAACGATGCTGTCCGCCGACCCTGCTGCATCTAAAATCGTGACAGACATTTTTTAAACAGACAGTTTCATTCCCATGTATAATTCATTGAAATTTATTTTTAATAAGAAGACCAATAAGTAGGCTTTTTAGCAGACATAGTCTCCCCTAGACAAAACACTGCTCAAATAGGATCATGATCCCTGATCATAATTGACAAAAAACAAATGACTGAGCTTTTTCAACTAGGCATAATAAGCCTGTCGCGGTAAAAATCTTTAAAAGGCAAACCAACAATGTGGGAAACCAGAAGGCTTTAGTTATATATTACCTGCTGTGTTGCTGCAATAGCTTGGCTGGCTGCTGCTGCTATCGCACTGCCTGCATGCCCCAATGAGTAAGAATCACGACCCAATGCAGCCTGAAGAAATATTTTATCATCTTAACATTTAAATTGATAATGATTTTGACAAGTTAGATCAACAATCTTATTGATTTTGAAAAATAAATGTATTAAAAAAAAGCTATAGTCTATAGTTTACGCGAGTAGTATTTAAATGTTTAAATACAACACTTTAACGGTTTAAAACGCGATATATCAGTTAAACTTGACAGCTGTGACCACGTCTGCTGCAAAGCATCCGAAACGTCGGGCCGAAGTTAAAAATCATTTTCAAATAAGTTTAACTAATATATCGCGTTTAAAACCGTTAAAGTGTTTTTTTTTAATGTTTAGATTTTTCTATTGCCTTTTTAAATATGCACCAAGAGGTAGAAAAATGAGGAATTTCGACAATACCTTGAAATTTTTGTGAAAATCTTAATCTTACAAATGCCTGTTTTTTAGCCCTTTGTAAATCTTACAAATAACTAAAAGTTATATTGTACCTTAATCATAAAACTCATACATTTTAAAGTAAATTTAATTTTTATTCATACAGTTTATAGAAAAACTAGTTTTCTATATTTACGGTATAATAATATATTATAGTTACCTGTATGGCAGAATCTGTCCGGGATAAGTTTCCGTTAGTAGTGTGGGATCGAGCCTCCCTATTAGTCCAACTTTCGCGACGCTTATCCGCCCTAATACGGTATCTAAAACAAAACAAATAGATACATTTTATGCAAATATATATCAAAACAAATTAGTCAGTAAGTCTGACACAAAGACCTTGGACATAGGAGCACAATTTAAATACATATACATATGTATTAAGTATTGTCTGTAGTATAGGCAAGTACACATTTAAATAAAACACTTTCAAAGGTTTAAAAGTGAAATAAGTATTTAAATATTTTATTGCTAAGTTCTCTTTTTGTTCTATAGTCTTCCTTTTTATTGCTTGTAATGTATCGCTAGAGTTCTTAAGTTTAAATCCTAAAAAACCAGTTGCATAAGATTTTTAACAAAACTAAAACTGCCATACAAGATTCATTGACTAAGAGAAGAGAATTCATTCTTCACTTTTCGTATTTAATTTAACTAAAATCTCCCTCCAAATAAATAGAGATGACCAAGTGAGCTAACCAAGTTACCCGACAGAATGTTAGCTTTGCTAAATAACTATAAGTATCAAGCAATAATCATAATTCTATTGTATTTGTAAACACTATAAGTGACTAAAGGCTGTCTGTTGTTTATGCAACTTGTACAGCTTTAAATAAAAACACTTAACGGTTTAAATGTTATGTAGCCAAATACCAACTATGACACAATGGATGGCAAAAGTGTAGCAGTTTTTACTTTGACAAAAAATACACCATCCATCTATAGTCTCCCCATAACAGCTGCTGCAAACAATTTAAACTTTGGGCCCTAGTTAAAATAAATTCAACTATATATCGCGTTTTAAACCATAAAAATGTTTTATTTAAACCATAATTGCCTTTAAATCATATTTTCCTTAAATACTTTCATAAAAGTTACCTGCTCTCCTTATAATGATTATTACTTGATGAAGTTGTGTGATTGGTATTAGTATCAAGATCTAGTGATCTCTTTTCTAAGAGTTCTGTTATGCCTTTGTTATCTGCCTCCAATTCACACTTAAACTTATGCAATTCCGTATCTGAAATCAAAAGGTTTTTTGTTCAAAAAGTAATTTTGAATATACTGTTTCAGCATTTTAAAATTTAATGAATTGAAATAAAAAGATGGTTCAACTGTTACTAAAAAATACAGAGTTGTTTACACAATGATCTCTTTGGTATCTACTTATACTATGCACATTTGGCATGCCATATCTTTTTAAATTTATTTTGTTAACAATTTTAGTATGCTTCTACATAAGGTAAAGACAATATATTTACTATTAATCAAGAGTAAAAAAATACCAATTGTTTAGTCTGACAGTATTATTATAGGATAATATAGTAAATACTACTGTCATACTTTTACTGCCTCTGTAGCCTAATGGTTAAACGTATTGTCTAGCATTGAGTTAAGCGCGAAAGTTCTTGGGTTAGAATCTCAGGGAAACAAAAAAATTGTTTCGGTCAGGCAGGGCTCAGAAGTCTGCTCAACTACTTGCCTGTTAAAGAACGGATCGGTGAAACAAACACAAAAATGTGTTTGCTCCACAAGGGCGAACAGGATTTCACTTTGACTGTCATAGATAAATAAATATTCTAAACCATGTATTTTACCTCATGGCTATGAGAACTATTATGAATATTAGAGATGTGATTACAATTTTACATCATTAATATTTCTTCACAGATACCAAGCGGGGGTTGGGTGATGAGTTCACACATTATATTGCAATGCCACTCAATTCCCCATTAATCTACATCCTAATACAATATAAACTGATAGCAATACACCATGGCTGCATATGCTTATATAAAAATCCATATTTTGATCTCTCTGTCTCATAACCTAATGCCTATTCTAAGTAATAATACTTACCAAGCCTCCGTAGATATCTATCAACAAGATCATACATCTGATTAGCTAAAGTAACTTTTTCATCTGCTTCTTCCAATGTTTTATTGTATCCTTTCTTGATATCAGAAAACTCTGTATCTGCTTGTTCAGTATTTATGTCGCCTCGACGACATCCACCAAATAGAGTTCGAACTCTTTTCTCTAAAGTGTCCATATTATCTAAAAGTATTCATATTGAGCTAATATTTACTTATTATGTGTGTTTATTTGGTTTCAAGCGTTAAAAGTTTATTGAATTAATATTTATTATTGTTTTATACACTGTACGTGTGATTAATACTCACTTTGTACAGATAGATCCATTTCACGCATTTCGGTAAATCTGTCTCTCAATTCTTGAGGAAGATGTTCAATCACTACAAAATTGTGTTTGTTTTAGTTCACTTTAAGTATGTATTCTTGTTAAGAACATTAAAAAGAAGAAAAAAAAGACCACGTTCATGTTTTGAAAATCGCGCCAAATCACTCAAACATCGATTTTCTTTTGAGCAGGAATGCCAACCGTAATGGCGTTCATGCTCTAAAAATCTAGGAAGACAAGACATACTTACTTTCTAAATAATCTTCTAAGTACAACATTTTGGTAAGTGAAATTACGTTTTTTAGATGTGTGCTAAGTTGTTTATTATATAATTGTATCGAAGTGTAGCTGATTATGCCTTTTATTTTTATTGAAAAATATTTGCTATTCACACGTCACAAAAATCCTTTTGTCAATTTAGAATTCACTAGTGTTGCACTATCTTGTTGTTGACTTGTGCGACTAATCGATTATAAAAATAAGAATCGATACACAAATGTTTGTATTGTTTCTGAAAAAGTATTTGTGGTGTTAGGAAGATTAAATAATTTAAATCTTTATTATCTTACTTTTTAGGCACAATGATTCGAAGACCCTTAACAGAAATAAAATTGAAATTAGAAGACTTGCAAGAATATGAAAATTCTAAAAGAGATCAAAACCACTTGTCGTTGTTACAATCAATGCGAAATGACTATGACAAAATAACAATTACTTCTCCAGTAGGTGGACCAAAAACAACCGAAGAAATACATGAGCGAATCGGATATGCACCTAAAAAAAAGTTAAGCGGAACCACTTCGGTTTAGTTAATTATAAATGTAATAATGTCGTAAATTTTAAATAAATCTCTTTTCTAACTTTTTTATAGTATTATTAATTGACAGTTGAAAATAAAACCAAACATTACAGTTATGATATAGAAACGATTTCGAATACATATTATACCAAAGGTGAATCATTCTTACTGTTATTTAGATCTATCTATATTTTCTTAATTACAAAATATATTCAAAATTTAAAAATCGAAAATAAATTGAAAAAATTTTCGACTCGGGCAGGACTTGAACCGGCATCGTCAGCTTTCCGTGCTGTTGCTCACCAATTGAGCTACCGAGTCCTACACCTCATCGTCGAATTTTTTCAACATGATCCACCTCTCAATGTAATTTCTACCTTAACACTTGCGTATTAAGGCTCAATGTCTTATGCTTTGCGCTTAAGAAATCATTGAAGATGAAATTACAAAGTTATAACGTTTGAAAACATTAATATTTTTCACATGTTATTGCACATGAAGGCACTATATAATTTAAAAATCGAAAGTGCCTTCATGTGCAATAACATGTGAAAAATATTAATGTTTTCAAACGTTATAACTTTGTAATTTCATCTTCAATGATTTCTTAAGCTGCAAAGCATAAGACATTGAGCCTTAATACGCAAGTGTTAAGGTAGAAATTACATTGCGCGAGAGGTGCATGTATCAATAAGTTGAAAAAATTCGACGATGAGGTGTAGGACTCGGTAGCTCAATTGGTAGAGCAACAGCACGGAAAGCTGACGATGCCGGTTCAAGTCCTGCCCGAGTCGAAAATTTTTTCAATTTATTTTCGATTTTTAAATTATATAGTGCCTTCATGTGCAATAACATGTGAAAAATATTAATGTTTTCAAATATATTCAAAATTTACGTTGTTTAAATTTGTGATAAAATTTTAAGTTGTTCATAGAATATTGCCTACTTTATTGTAGGCAATAACTTGTGATATGATTATTACAGACTATATTCACTTAGTTGCAAAGAATATGCTTGATATACATGCACCACAGAAACACTCAGAAATTTCTTGAAATTTCATGCTTTAAATAATTGTCATTATTGTAAAGTATTTGAATATGTTTTAATGTGGTTTGCGAATGGTTAAGTTAGTTCACGAAATACAAGTTACACTTATATGTAATTGAAATTCTCAGTTTTCTTGTAAGTATATAATTGAATGTTTAATGGACGTTTATTTATGCAGTATTTAGAAGGCACTGTTAATTCGATTTTTACAGCAAGCGCAACAATAACGACGCCAATCACACGTTTCTATTTAATATTCAAACAGTTAATATAAAGTACAATAATATTCTTCTGAAGGTTTTATATTAACCGAAATGTCGGACGTCAAAATACACGAGGTAAGTTATACGGATTCCAACGTGCAAGATCGCGCTTTTTGTAAATTAAATATGTACCTACCGTTTAAAAGTTAACACAAGTTTTACTTTTTTTAGCTAAGAAGTGACATAGATGAACTACAGGAGTTACTGAAGCAGGCCAAGCGTAAAAGGGTGCAGGATATATTATCTTTAGAGATTCGCAAATTGGAAACAGAATGGATTGCTTTAAAGGATAAGATTCGAGAAACACCAATGGAAGTGGCACCATCATCATCAGCGGGTTTAAAGAAAAGGAGTCAAATTAAACTGAGTGGATATGGTAAGTTTTGTTTTTGGCATATTGTCTTAAAAACTTTGCCGTTTTAAGTTAAGAGTGCTAGAGGACAAAGTATATCAAGTTTGAAATATTAGTTTACTTTTAATATCATATCACATTGTCATATTCATACAAATTAACCTTTATATTTTATTTTACAGGTTGGGACCAATCTGATAAATATGTTAAGATATTTGTAACACTTAAAGATGTTCACACTCTGCCAAAGGAACAAGTTTACTGTAAACTGTCAGAGAAATCTATGGAACTGTATATTAATGATTTGGATAATAAGGATTATAGGCTGGTCATCAACAATTTGCTGTATCCTATTATTGAAGCTGATTCTCATTGGAAACAAAAAACTGGTAATTCTTACTTTGAACTGAGATGTTTTGAAATAAAACACTTTAACGGTTTAAAACGCGATGTTTTAGTTAAACTTATTTGAAAATGATTTTTAACTTCGGCCCGACGTTTTGGATGCTTTGCAGCAGCCGTGGTGACGGGGAGACTAAAGATGGAAGATGTCTCTGATGTCAAAGTAATCAAGGTATCCAGAGTTAACTCTGGATCCCATTAAACAGCATGCCGCGAACGCGAAGACACCGTTAGTCAATTCTGTAAGGACCCGGCCAGTTTTGCCAAATACCAACTTCGACGGAACAGATGGCCATGGCAATTTTTTACTTTGACGTCAGAGACATCCTCCATCTTTAGTCTCCCCGTGACCACGGCTACTGCAAAGCATCCAAATTAATTGAAACATTTTCAAATAAATTTAACTAATATATCGTGTTTTAAACCGTTAGTGTTTTATTTAAATGTGTACTACTCCCGTAAACTGAGACCTTTTTGTTTACTTAAAATGAAAAATTTTAAATGTTAGGCGGTATGTTTACAATGTTTACTTAAGGAGAGTAAATGATGCATAAAAATTAAGGTACTAATTTTATACTATGATTTAATTAAGCTTACGTTAAACTTCAGCTACTCAATCTCAAACTCGGGTTATTATTATTATTATTTTCTTTCGGGGACACCTGTGGTAGGACGGGTGATCAGTCCACGTCATCAGCCGACCATTTCACCCATTTCCCCATTTCCTCCTTGTAGACTCGGGTTAAAATGTATATTTTTTTTAGATATGGTTGCCATATTCCTCGCTAAAGCTGATACATCTATCAAGTGGTCCCACATGACAGAAATAGAAAAGAAATTCGAGGACAAACGCGCTAATCGTTTTAAAACTGAACCAGAGGATATTGACAAAAAGGATCCACAAGCATCCATTATGAGTCTCATGAAGAATATGTAAGTATAAAATGTTTGTATAAGTCATGCTATTTACAGAAAAGAAATAGGTCATCTTAAATTACTGAGTGATTTAACACTACAATTAATGTGATGAAAAATTATATATTATATAAGTATAATATGATAGAAATTTTATTTTCTAGGTATGAAACAGGTGATGATGATATGAAGCGAATGATTTCAAAGGCTTGGTATGAAGGACAACACAAAAAGAAAAGTGATACTCTCGACTTGTAAGCTTGTAATGTAAAATTAATTATTTTTAAGTTTTACCCCAGCGGACCCTGTGGTAATGATTTTAATAATAAAATAACTATTGAGGAAAGAAATTTATTTCATTTAAATATCATTTACATTTTGAATATTAATAGTTTCTCTACTTATAACGTTTTGGTGATCGCCGATTTTCATTTTCAATTTTAGTCCACTTTGATGCTAGGGAAGGAGAGCCAGCTTGAGGTCCTGAAAAAAGTTTTTGGTATTTTACAAATTCATTATTTACAAAAATCAGTTGTATCTTAATATTAATAATAATAATAATAAACTCTTTATTGCACAAACATAGACATAAGAACATGGATACATAGAATTACATATACAAAATAAAACATATTAATACTTACCATAACTTTTTACTAGATCCTTTTTCATTCCTGACCTTTAAGATCAAGTGGCATATGTAAATCGCTTGTAGGGTGTATAAAATAAGTGACCAACAATTGGGTAAGGAACTTTCAGTTTTGTCACTGGAAATAAGCATCGTCCTCGACTGGTCGTAGATAATGGTGTTGTCTTTTGAAGTTCGTGCACTTCGTACATGATCGATTCTTGAGGACAATCTTAAAGTATTTCGGTCATCATTGGCTGAAATTTGTCTTTCCCTAGAGGTCCTCACACGCTGTCTAAGAGAATTATGGTTCCTCTCCTCTAGTCTTTCATTTAAGTTTTGTGCGGCTCTTTCTATTATTCTATTCGTATTTTTGTCAGACCTTTCTGATTGTAATCGACTTGTGATAAGTCTAAATTCCTTGTTTTCGGTATGCCCGATCCTTATATCTCGTATTTCTGCTGAACTCCTGTCAACAACATTCCTCCTGCCATCCTCTCTATTTTCCCTAGTGGTTCTTGCGTTTCTTGAAGGAGATTGTTGACGCAATACACTTAAACGTCTAGAAGTATGTCTTGCATCGTTCTTGTCCTGTCTAGCAACCCTGGTCGTTATATCAACTCTCAATCTCTTCGTAGTCAATCTGATAGCTCTTCTATCCGTTGAACTCAGGGCGTTATCACGTTGTTCGCGAACTACCCGCTGATTTTCATTGATTTCTCGCCTGCCAGTTTGTCTTAGTTCAATTCGTTCAGTATTTTGTTGTTTCTTGATTCTACCCTCTCTGCGTTCTGAACGTTCGTAATTCAGAGAAAGATCGCGTTCCATACCTTGATTTTCCCGTGCAGAATGCCTTTCACGGGACCGATCGCTTCTTACTGTCCGCCGTTCAACGATATCTCTTTCCATAGTCAATCTCAGTTCAGTAGATTCTCTTACAGCTCGAAAGCTGCGCCTGTCAACATTTCTTACATCGTTCCTCTCATTGGTTATTCGGCGTTGGATAAAAGGTACACTGCGTCTATTATTTTCTGGAAGACTTTTAGATCTAGATGTGCCTACATAGATAGCGTTTTGTCGACGTTCATTATCACTGGAAAATCGGCTAGTAAAAAGCCTTCTTTCAATGTGCCTTGATTCATCTCTTGTCCTTCTAATTTCTAGTCTTTCCCGGCTCAACTCGATACCATTCATTGCAGGTGAGTTTCTTGAATCTACTTCGTTTAGTCTAGTCATTGAATGTGCATAAATCCTTTGGTTACCTTGATCACTTATTTCTCTGACTCTCTGAAAGTAGTCTCTTAAACATGAAATTGATGTTTCTCTTTCAGAGTTAGGTTGTGTTGTTAATGTCCTTCTATTTGCTACACGTTCTCTTCTTTCGTTCGAAATTTGTCTCTTACCAAGATTTCGATTTTCACGGACTGTTTCACGGTCGTCTGATCGTCGAGCGGTTCCTTGTCTTATTTCGCTAGTCGGTCTTCGTGCTATATTAATAGAATCCCGTTCTTGTGTTGTACGCAAAGATCTTCGAATCACCGATTCATCGGTACGGGACTCAATTGTAACAACATCTACGTTTCTGATATTGCGTGTAATTCTGTTTCGGTTTTCAAATCTTTCTGTGGACAAGGGTCGAGCTTGAGTGGCCCTTGCTAGTCGATTATAATGATTTCTCTCAGCCTGTATCTGGCGGATATTTGTACGGCTACGTCTTTGTTGTGGGCCAGCTACACGACCATCAAAAGTTTGAGATAAATCAAATCGACTTCCATCTATTCCGATTTGGCGATTCACTTGGGAATTTCTCGCTGGCGAATTAAAATTTCTTCCATCTTCTCGAAAATGCTTTAATTCCCGAATACGGTCGGTGGAAACCTCGGGACGAGTATTTCTGCGTTCCCAAATTCTAGTATCAGGCAAGATCGAGTTCAATGATTCGTAGTTTCTTCCATCGGCAAGGTATTGTTCAGATTTTATCGGATTCAAAATACAAAGTAATACTAGAAGTGGAAAATTCCAGTAATACATATTAGCTGCTCTTCCGCTGTGTTTGCTTCCTTTTCTTGAGATGTTGGACTGGATACTGTTGGTTTCGAACTGGCTTTGAAGGTGTCTCGTCGTCCTTTTATACGAAAGCGAAGCAGTATCTGATAAATTTGTATTAAACGGTAGAACGCATCCAATTTTCAACATCCTACGCGAGAGCGACACAAGCAACGATACGGATTTTTCATTTAACTGTTGAGTGGATTAAAAGAGATGGTACCCTTAGCGAAAAAGTTTTATCCTTACTATTCTAACGTAACGTTAGTAAAAGTTGTAGAGTGAATCATTCAATAATTAGTTAAGGTATATTATAAAATTTTCTTTAATAAAGGAAATATACCGCTGAATGGCGTTTAATAAGATTCCATTTAGCTACTCTGTCCTTCCAATTATGAATAACACAACAATTTTTATTTTCTCTAATAAAACAATATGTATATAAGAAAGTTATCCAGAAATAAAACAAAGTTTTAATTCCATCAAGCTTTGTTGCTAACCGTACTTCATTCACACGTTATCAGCGGTCCCAGCTGCACAAGAAAATTTGTCTCCGCGCCCTTCACCACTATCTGATTATCCTCATTGGAGCGATTAATTAAACATTCTATTGGATATAAATTCCATTCTTTGCTTGCCTAATTTGTTTGTTCGAATCGTGTATATTTTCTTATACTCCTTTTCGTACAGGTTGTTTTGTTACATAGTAATTAAAAAATTACTAAGCCCTTTAGGTACGTGATATTTGGTGTCTTATTGTTCAAAATCTAGCCTATAAGCATACAAAGTAATCGGGCTTGTGGAGAATTCTAATTATTTTTATTTAGTAAACCTCCTAAATAAAGTAAGCACATATTTTTAGCGTTAAACTAAAACGGATTATATTACTGAGATACAAATTATGTATGTCTGTTGGCAATGTAATGACTACTTAAAAGAGCAACTTCGTGATCATAAAATTATTATGTACCTATAGGAGTCAGTGCTAATCAGCTGCTGGCCATTTCCCCCATATATTCATAAATAATAATTTATTGAAAAACTTATGTATGTGCAAGTCACGAGCACTTATAGTTTATATATAGTTCTTAGCATCTTGGTTAGGTGCTATAGGCTAGGATATATCACCTACTATAACTAAAATAGTGAACTCCATAACATGTCTGTCCTCCTCTATCATTAAAAAAAATCAATTAAGAGCAATAGCACGGAACGCTGACGATGCCGGTTCAAGTCCTGCCCGAGTCGAACATTTTTTTCAATTTATTTTCGATTTTTAAATTCTGTTTTATTTTTTCACAGCTTGCATCAGTCACATGCAAAATTATCCTGCTTGTTACAACCTCTCAGTTTTTACTAATAACATGTAATAAAGGTATAATAAAATCCAAAATGGTCAACCATAGGTTTATTTTTTGTATATCTTAATCCTAATTGTATCCGTAGGATTGCATGACAGCGGTGAACGGTGCTGTGGCTTTGGAAACTTTGTCACCGGCCTCCTTAGTGATTTTCTGAAACAAAGAGAAAACACTAGAGCATTTCGTAAATATAATGCCATTGAATTCTGGTTGTTTTGTATATTCAGATTAAGTTATTCTTATCATACAACATCAAATAATGTAGGTAAATGAAAAAGTCATCATAGGATATTCTTTGAAATGTTCTTAATCGCTTCGAAGTCCTAAAGGGTACTTCAGAAAAATAAATACCTTAAGTTTTCTTTCATAAGCGACTTTGTGGATTGCCTTGAATTTCCTCTTGTCCTCAAGTTTGCGAACAACATCGCGGTACTTCCAGCCAACTTCGTGAGAAAGACGACCGACGTGACAGTACTGTGAAGCAAAAGAAAAATTTAATTTAAAATTGTCATCAGTTTTTAAAAACACACTGAATAATATGTATATTTTGCAACTAAATTATAATAAAATAAATACATAATTAATAACACATTAACATCCTCGCTTGCTTACATATTCCTAGACCCCATTTTACTTGATGTATTTCAAAAGTAATTGGCACACTATCTCAAATCACATTTTTTACACTGACTGTTTAAAATTATTTATTTAATAAGTTGATCCTTTTTTTTTAATACCTTACGGCCAGGCTTCAAGCAGAATACTCTTAATGCAGCTGGAACAACCACTCTGCGACGGTTGTCAAAAGGTGGCGGGCAGCCATCATATGAGCGAAGCCTTGTGAGAGCATCCTTTCCACGCTCTGTTTTGTGAGGTATCATGCCTGAAGAGGACATAGATAATAGATAAGATGGGTTTATAAACTGAATATGTACTTTTAGCAGTGAGAAAAACTTCATAATATCTGATTTATCATGATCAAGTCAAATAATGTAGGTAATTGTATGCATAAAATCATTAGCTTTCTACAAAAAAAGATTTGGCATAAGTTACTCATATTTAAATTGCTTTACATGATAATGCACATGCTTAAAAAAAATGTATATAATAAAAAACAATTACACATATGTATCTATGACATGGGCACTTAAAAAAAAGCAATGGAACAATTAGCTATTTGCTCTTTAGGAGTAGTACTACTTTAGCAACTATAAAATGTAATATTTCTCAAAGAACTATATATAGATACTCAATATAGAGTACTCAATGATTGTTCAGTTTAGGTTTACCTCTGACAGTTTTCCACAGGATTTTAGATGGGGCTCTGAAGTGGAATGGTCCACGGGCTGGGTTTACATTGCAGCGCTTTCGCAGAAATGACATGAACTTCAACTTGTTTCTGTAATTTTAACAAACCTACTTAAAACAAGCTATGAAGATAATAATTAAATAATAAAAAGGATTTTTGTTTAATCAGACAAAATAAAGTCGCAACATGATTTTGTTCAGTCGCAAATTACCCAAATAAGAAACATCATATTAATGTTGACAAATATTTCATTATCCTAGGTTTATATTATTAATAAAGTTTATACGAAAAGCTTACCTGAAGAAGTTTCCTGAGATGTTAATTTGTTCACATCGTACAACAACAACTTTGTTACCTTCCAAAAGGACTTTAGCAATTACGGCGGCCAAGCGGCCGAGGAGATGGCCACGGCCATCGATAACTATGGCCTAAAACAAATAAATGTATTCATTAAATTGATATGAAGCATCACACTACACTGTCTATAACCTCAAAATTTAGTTCGACAACATATCACTTTTTTCAGTTATTTTCATAGCAGTGCATGAGTAAAAAACGATAAATTATAGGTGATTTGAATACCTATACACTGCTGGAAATAATAAGATAATCATATAGCTACCAACAAAAGCTACATGCCACAAAATACTACACGTGCACATCAAGCCGCAATTAATTCTGAATTGGGTATTGTAGTCGTAAGTTAACACTAAATTAGTGGATTCTATCACTGTTAGGATGATTTTAATAATTTTTAAGAAATAATTGATATATTTTAGACAGTTTTTACTCTCACCTTATTGCTAAAGCCCGTCATTTTCACGACAACAAAACGGAAAAGGATAACTTTTTAAACCAAGATGGCCACCGGATCTTTTCAAGTAGAAATAATAGAATATACTTCGCAGAGACAAACCTTAATGTCAAGCAAGCAATGTCAAATTTTGTGTCATTGTCATTTAAGACATTTAAAATAAGATTGTTGTTGTACTTTTATTTTGTTTTAAATAATAAAATATTATGCATATTGCATCGCACATTGCCTGGTATATAAAGCGTAGTTTTTAAATATGACTGTATTAATGTTACCGATGTAGGGTATTCATTTAAAGCGATTACCAATTCTTAATTTCCACGTCAGTGACCGTAATGTGTATAAAAATAAAACTAGGAATTATTGACTGATTACGAAGATACTATATATTTGAAGACGAAAATACTTTGTTTGCGTAATGGATATCCCTTATAGAAAAATCTTGATCTATATTTTAACTTTTGCGACATATGCTTACACTGGTATTGGCTCGACAATGCTGAGAAACCTGAAAGATGCAGTATTATCAGCTGAGACAGTTTTCGGCGATGTCTTTAGGAATGTTATAACAGTAGCAGAGAAATTTAAATCTTTGCACGACATTTTTGATGCGGCTGTGGAAGAAGAATGTATCTTTTCATGTCCAGAAGGTATACTTTTTTAAATATACCACATTCTTTTTACTGCTTATAATGTATGGAAATTTTTTAAACAATTTTTTTTCAGGGCACAAGCCGGTTCGTAATAGAAACCACATACCAAAATCTGACGGCTGTGGTTCATTAGGTTTCGAGATTTCTTCTGAGTATTTACCATTAGAGCAAATGACAAAGTGTTGTGATACACATGATATTTGTTATGACACCTGCAATAGTGGAAAAGAAATTTGTGATCTCGAGTTTAAGCGTTGTCTCTATAATTACTGTGAAACATATAAAAGTATTAATGTTGCAGCTGATGCAATAACAAAAGGTAATTTTTGTGCTTCTAATTCTTTATGTATCTCTAAAAAGTTGGTAGCTTAGTACTACATTCATCTGAATTATTTATAAAGATTGTGTATTCTTATTGATATAGTGTTAGCAAGAAATGTTTTCATAAAATTTATGATATGAGATATAAATATTAGCAGATACAGATTTAAAACCCTCCACATCCTTCCAAATGCGTATTCGTAATTTTAAAATCAGGCTTTGTCTAGTATATTCAAAAATATATTGACATAGTCTAGTATTAGTATTAGACATAGACAAGATATTGTTTGCTTGAGTGACTCACGAACAGATAGGGTAATGAGAGTAAATATGAATCAGAGGCTAATATCTATTTAATTGGTGTTAAAATAATTTAATGAATAACAAAGAAATTTGTTTTTTCCAGGTTGCAAAGGAGCCGCTAAATTATTATTTACTGGCACTTTAACTCTTGGGTGCAAATCATATTTAAATGCACAAAATAATGCCTGTTACTGTCCTCCACCAAAGAACAAACATAAAAAGTTTACAACTGGCAATGGAGAGTTATGATATTATAAATTATTTTTAATACTAACACTGTTTAGTTACAATTATTCTTTATTATTTTGTAGTCAAGTTATTGTTTGCAGCATGTAATTAAGTTAATAGCCCTTGTGTGAACTAAATACTAATGTCTAGGTGTGTCTTGTTTTGTTTAATCCTGTGATATCAGTACTGGGTTAGTAAAGTATTGTTAAATGTGTTTGTAAAAAAATGTCTTACATAATTATCACCTTTTATTTTAGCAATAAAAATTGATTCCTACCCTTTTTGGATTACACAAGTTCTTAAAAATAATTTATATGCTAAATTTTGAGTATAGGCCCTCTAAAACTTGGTGATATGAGAGAAATGATTAATAACACACTTTACACATGATGCACAAAGGCCTTAGATACAGAATTTTTATTTAAACTAATGGACGCAGATGCATGGTACTTTTCCACATTATGTTAAGCTTACAAAAATAATCAATGTAAATAAATGCATTTAATTATAAAATATATTATTAAATTTGCTCTTTCTTGCATTAAAATTAATAGAATGAGTGAATATAAAAAAGATTAATCTGAGATTAGTTTATGTCAAAAGCTCTTTGATTTCATCCTTTTCAGCTGCTTCAATGTATGGTGTACCATCTGGTGCTTTACCGCTTTTGGATGCACCCTGAAAAATTTAAAACCAGTATTGAGTTCTATTCAAATTTCGATGTAAGTAAAAAAAATAAGGCCTCACATGTTTCAGCAATGTTTTCACACAATCTGTATGGCCTTCCCAAATAGCTGCTAAGATTACAGATATTCCATGCTTATCTACAACCTGCAATTTTAAATACTAGTTTTAATTACATTTATTTAGGAATGGCTATCATGTAGAAAATATAATACTTACATTGGGGTCAGCACCTTTATCTAATAAATAATTAAGGACCGCTGTTTGACCGTAATCTGCGGCGTAATGCAAAGGAACTCTTCCATCAATACGTGCGTTGACATCAATTTTCTGCAAGACATAGTAAGTTCATATGTTTATGTGCAACATCGATTGATATGTAGTGTGAAACAAGAAATCCATAAGTAAACAGCAAGCCGGACTAATAAGCAATTTAATGGTCGGCTAGCTTTGACATCTTACATGCTTCTCGACGATATCTTTAACTTGATCGATATCGCCGTTCTTGATACCCCAAACTAATTCACTCATTGTAACACTAGGTAATTAATAAACGAGTTAGTTGAAACAATAGGTAGCTTTCTCAAGTTTCTCCTTCGAGTCGAATTCTCTTATTTCCAATTCTCATTGAAACAATATTGACGTTGACAGTTTTCAGAGCGTTTGACATGTTTATCATTATTATATTAATGCGTCATGCTTTGTTTGTCCACAGCTTCGACTTTTTATATGAGGAGGATGAATTTACTCTGTGGTCAATTTCACGATTTCTGTCGTATTCATATTTGATTTCTATTCATTTGACCGTTGAATATTTTTAAAATTATTAAAATTGCTATACTTATTTAAAAGCGATAAAGTCCGAAATAATCGATTAACAGGTATTTCATTGATACTCTTTAATGCTAATTTGGCTAAATTTATTTATTTATTATAATAGATTTTCAAATGGAGACCAAGTCAATGTTTCAAAAAAAGAATATAAAACTTGCTTGGGTGAGTACAAGTTGTTATTAGCTGCTGTAAAATTTAGAGGATACTTTTTGAGGTTGTTGTAACATAAAAGTTTTTCTTTGCAGGATTTAATATTTAAGAAAATTCATCCGTTATTGAGTGGTATTGTATCGAAGTTTCAACTCCTGAATAGTTCCAATGATGAAAACAATACCTCAATCGATAAGATTTGGAATATTTATAAACTTTGCAGTGACCAAATACGGAAGTGTATCGTTATTTTAATTGATGTTTTAAATTATAATAGAAAAAATAATACATTTGAAAAGGTATAAGCATTATTAAAGTGCATAAGAATCACAATGCTTATTATCATTGTAACATATTGTTAATATACTTAAAAAAATTGCAGGAAAGTCTTCAATGTATTTTAGAGAGACTATCATGTTGCCATGAAAAATTGCTTTCAATTGATTTACAAGTTGATAAACTATTTAGTACAACAGATGATAGTATTTCTGAAGAATCTATAATAGTTAGTACAATGTACTTTGTGAACTGGGTTGATCAGACATTTGGAGTTCTTAGTAATTTGTCCAATCATGTTTATCAGAAAGATTTCAAATCAGAGGATTATTTTGAAGCCTGGAAGGATGAAGTAAGTTTTCATTTTAAATATGTCACACAATAACTAGGGTAGCTGATTTGTAAAATGTGTTGCCTGGAATATTTGACACAGAGATAGAGAAACAGTTTTTTTATTTATTTGGTAGAACATAGTATGTTCTAAACATTTACTATCACACATTTATTTCTTAAGAGGTTATTTAAAAAGTGATTACTATTTGTATTGACAAATTTTCCTTAATTTTCAGCTAGTTGTATGTGTAAGTGGAATCCACACATTTATTGATGAGATGTTGCTATCTGCAATGACTCTTTGCAAGTATTGCTTGCCGATGGATCAACATATTGTTAAAGCCCGCTGTCAAGTGGTAAGTTAAGTATCATCAGTTGTTTCAGTATATTTTTTACAATTCCAAACATCTAATATACTGGTAACTTATTTTGTAATTAAAAGAATAACACAAATACCGTTTCAGGTTTTCATGCCTTTTGACTTCCCCTTTGTGTTGTTAAATTTGAGTTACACAAACTTTATTTCTTATGGAAAGGATGGTATATAATTTGCTAAGTTTACATACATTACAAAAATATAAGTATCGTAAAATACAATCTTAATCATAAATTTTTAAATATTTTCAGGTGCTCCGAGAAACTAAAGCACTTCTTGGTGATTTAATAAGAGGCAATTTGGATTCTGTATTCCAAGCTTCAAAAGAGGCCCTAATACTGCCTCTAAACCCCTCAAATGTTAACGTCTTGATAGATGTATTGAAAGTTGTGTTGTATGCCTTAGAAACAAACACAAATACAGCCCTACTGGCTTTAGTAGTACACTGCTTTGCATGCAACACATCACCTGTAGATGTATTAAAAGACCATTTGATCAATCACCATAGTGATTGTTCTTCTGAAGACTGTGATTTTGTCAGAGAGTTTGATTTGTTTAATGAAAGACTAATGCAGATTGGTTCTTTTGCAATATCATGTTCTTCAGATGAGAGTAGTAAGTACCTATACAATTTCTGTCTTAGCGATTGAGAATTCCTGGATTCGAATCCTGTTGTAAAGACTTAAGCCTTAAAGAGCCTCATAAATAAAATAAAATATACTTTATTCTCTTTAAAATTTAAGAAAATATTTAGATTTGTCAATTTATTTTTTATTTTTTGTAGAAACACGACAAACAGACAGACTGTTCGTCGTGTTTCTACAGAGTGTTCAAAAGAGCAACATAACTGAGAAGGACACCCAAGAACCCTCTCGTTATGTATAGAGATTTATTTATAGCTTATTAGCCTAAAAACCTAATTACGGATCTTTTTAATAGATAGAGAGGAATGTTTTCTATATACAACATTCAATTTTTTCTGTAGTGTATGTAGTATTAGCATTGCAACCGAGCTAAGCCGGGGCGAGTCGCTAGTTTATTATAAATGGCTTAGGTCTGACAAGATTTTATTAGAAGAAAATCGACGAGTCAGTCTTTTAATCACAACTAATTATCACATTTATTTTCAGGAGTGCTACAACTCCGCAGTGGGCTAGCAAGTCTTGAAGCCCTAGACCCACACTTAGTTCCTGCTATCATGGTGGCTCCCTTAAGCTATAATGCAAATGTATTGATTGATACATGGAAACTCGAAGTGGCCGATGTTAGGGACCAAGTATTTCTTATAGTCGATCCAACGGCCTTTGCTCAGGTATTAACTCAAAATACTATATTATACTATCTATTCAAGAAGATAAAAAATTCTAAAATATGGGAGTAGAACTTGCGTCAGATGGTGTACCGTGCGTTTGCTCGTAAAGCCTTCCATCGAATTTTTCCAAATAAAGTTTCAACGGTTTAAAACCGAAACTTAATAATTATTTTTATTTAACTTATTTTTATTTTAACTACGGCCCTACATTTCAGATGCCTTGAAGCATATATGATATATATTTAAATAAAAGACACGGGAAATCTCCCGTGACCACGGCTGTTGCAAAAGCATCTGAAACGTGGGGCCGTGGTTAAAATAATTTTCAAACAAGTTTATGTATGTTACGTTAAAGTATTAGTATTTTATTTCATTAAGTAGGTTTTATTAAAAACACATATTATTGTTTCAGAAAGCAAAAGAAATGATGCACAATATTTTACTACAAGTAATTAAAGATAATATCTACAATAATATCAAAATATGTAACGTAATTGACATTGGGTGTGTCGTTGAAATGTTTTTTGAGGTTTACAAAAAACATGAACCAAATGCTTTGCCGCATCAAGAGAAACTTATTCCACTACTCCAGGATTTGAGTAAAGGTGATTTTTTTAAATTAAAAACTTTTTCTTAATATTATATTGTTAACTAGAGAACGGGTTTTATTAACTTAGAATACAATTTTATTCACATTTTTTTTGTATCTTTGACGGATTGATTTACTTGCTTACATCCTATGTAATTTTTACTAATGACCGTTTAAACTTTTAACTTAACAGCCTCGTTACTCTATTGGTTATTGCCCTTAACTGCAGATCACGTTATACCGGGTTTGAATCCTGGATCAGATCGAAATATGGTTTTAAACCGTTAAAGTGTTTTATTTAAATCTTATCTAATTGTTTATCTTTCAGTGATTCCCGAATGCAAAGTCGTCAATAATATACTAAGTACGCCTGATGATTTTATCTATCCCATAAAGTACACGAAAAGCGAAACGGTCTCTTTCGACAAATTAATAAAACGCTTAAAACTCCTGTACACAATAGTCAATAAAATCTGTACTCTTCTGTCACCCGAAGACGATATATTCGAGGAAACCGTAAAAAATGAAACTCACACAGTGGCTAGAACATTTGTGAACTCTCCGAAGAAAACCATTAATGTTACTCGAAGTGTATTGGGAAGGACGACAAATATAAAATCTTCGACGGCGAAATTTCCCTTGAAAATGCTAACGAAGAATCTGAAAGTGAAGAAGGATTTGAGTTTCTCGATTAAATTGGATGAATTGTGTGACATATCAGCTATTAAGGTATTTTCAAAGTTATGTGATTTGTTTGAAAACTTTAATATTTTCCAAATTTTATAATGATTATAAATTGGAAACCCAGGCTCGGTAGCTCCATTGGTTAGCAACACGGAACTCTGTGAATGCGGTTTCAAGTCCTGGCCGAGTCGTATTTAAAAAAATCTATAATCGACTTTTAATTTATGTGATTTGTAATATATGTATATAATAGTCATATTATATATTACATAGAAACTAGGCTGTGTGTCCTGTTTTCTATATCGGAAACATTATTTTGTCTGTCACGGGCAGTCGATCAGCTTTGTCCCTCTTGTAGGAGGGAAATATGGGTGAAATAAGTAGCACTGCAGCAGCAGCAGAAATAAGTAGCAATGTGGCCTGATCAGTTCCCCTTTCTATCGGTATCCCCAATAGTAAATATTTATAATAACTATGCCCCACCAATCGAAACTCTGTCTATGCCATTACTCAAATGTCTCTCCCTTAAAGGCTTTTGCGCCACAACTTTTCTTACTTTCCTAATAAATAATATATATATCTACATTTTGTATTTTTATATTGTAAACAGGTTCGGAATACTTCCATCATGTATTCGCCTATGAAGAAGACATCGTTACGAAAAGCAATGTTAAGCAGACGCTGTAAGGTCCAAGAAGCTTTCGATGACGATACTGAGGATGGTATGGACGAAGCTATGAGCTTGCAAATAACAGGTAAACTATAAATTGTAGAAGACTTTCGTGCCCATTTTATAATTCTTTATGGTCTTCAAGCTGTTCTCTATGCTTGTCGACGTTTCTGAAGATCTTTTGATCATGTCATCCATTGGTGATGGCAAAATGTCGAGTTTCATTTCTGAATCATGTAATCGACTTTCATCATCGAGAAATCATTCTGACAACCACGGCACAACCACCCCCCCAGTGTAACAGGTAAAAAATGCTTAGAAAAATATTTGACCTGTTGAATATGAATGGTTTGATTGGTGAAAAGTCTAAATCACCCAATTTGCTCTTTCAATATTTACAGTTTCAAACATTCTATTTTGATTGTTCAAAGTGAAAAAGTTCCTTACCCGTTTTATAGTACACTACTACACTAATATACAACAAATTGAATTTTCAGAAGTTTTAAACGAAATCAACAATTTAACAGTAACAAGACCGAGAATTATGAACGTGACGTATGATGAAAAAGATATATCCAAAACACACATGCTAAAACTCCCCGTTAACAACGAATCAGTTACGAAACATGTATGGAATATAACGGTGAGCAGTGATATCTCTAATGCAAGCCAACCATCAAACATCGACACGTTGGAACGCATAAATGATCTAAATCTAGTTACTAGTAAGTTGAGCGATCTAAAATCTGTGCAAGAGACTAGTTTGTAATATTAGTAAGATATGACCGCCTCCGTAGCTAAATCCTTAAACGTGTTGCCTCCGGGAAAGAATGGATTGTGTCGGGCCGACAGGTCACAGTCTTATCAACTACTTACCACAATTGAAATGGACACAGAAATATGCTCGCCCCATGCCCCACGGGGGTAAACGAGATATCACTTTTTTTATAATACAACCAATAGGAGTGTACTTCTAAAAAAGTGTAATCAATCAAATCTGTCGTTATTAAATTTTTGGCCTAGATTCTACGTTTCACCACTCCAATTTGGAGTGATCGTTTCGGCCTCACTTTCAAACGGTCATTTTTCTGTTATATATAGATATTAAGTTGATAATTTTAGTACAACGTCAATGTCTTATATGCTAAATTATAAAGTGATAATACTATTGTTAAAATATAAATTCCGTCCTAATTGTCACAGAGTGAAATTTTAAAGGCTTTATTAAATAAATAAGTTACAATAAGAAATAGTTTTTTTTTTTACATTTAAATCTCATCAACACAACTCATACATTTACATCATTACGTTGACAGACAGATTAAACAACATGAATTGTACATATAAAAGAAGTTAGAGCAAAACTAAGGCCTTTTTTTAATTTTCGGTTGATAGTACGCTCGTTTAATGTCTCCCTAGTGGTAATGTGTTTAGAACAATCAGAATTAAATACTATCTGTAGTTTACGCGATTAATAAACATTTAAATAATACACTATAACGGTTTAAAACGCGATATATTTTAGTCAAAAAAGTTTAACTAAAATATATCGCGTTTTAATCTATTAGTGTTTTATTTAAACAATCAGAATTGTTTCACAGGTATATTGGACGCACAATCGAAAGCACTTTGTTGGTTACACACCAATTGTAGTGGTTAATGATTAGTACTATCTTGTCGATAGTTACTAATTACCAAGTCTAATATTTCACACATTAAAAAGTACTAATTATGTACATCTAATATCGATTGAAATCACAAGTATCCCAAAGCGTCCAATTATTTTGATATATGACGCTTGGTTCCAGTTTCAGAACTGACCTTTTTAAAAGAGTGTTTCGTTACTTATTGATTTATCGACAGCTAAAATTTTATATTATTTTTATTTTATTTTAAATATTTTTGCATTCTTTTTAAGTATTGTAGATATATAGGTAGAAAAGAGTTGAACGCTCAACATTCTGTCCCTTTTATCATGGGCTTCTTAGAAAGAGCCAACCTTGCAATTTCTCTGGGTTTGAGTTAAAAAATCATTAACCTTAATAAATAAATTATTCACCTTATTAATGACTAGCTGTGTCAGCGACTTAGTCCGCGTGGAACAGTTATTTTGCGCTTAAAATTTGTTTTTGCAAACCTCCTTTTCGAGTGCGTAAATATAAGCTATTATATTATCCATGACGCTAATACCGCGGATCCGTCTTCTAGTGAGTTAATTTTAAAAGATAGACATTGTGGCGGGCTTTTTTAAAAATCATATTTTTTGTCCAACGAGCCAGTAGTTCTGATTAGCGCGTTCAATCATACAAACAAACTCTTCAGCTTTATATATTAGTATAGATTATACACACAGAGAAATGTTTCATGTCTTATGAAACTTTTCTCTGTAAATGAAAACTTGTACGTCCATGTCAATGGCAAGTTACTAATGGTCCTTAAAATTGCTCGCCTTCCGACTTCAAGTGTTCAGACAACAAAGTGAATACTTTAACTACGCTACGGGAGCCTAATAACGTTGGTAGCGTGGAAACAGTACATGTTTTTAATGTTCCTGTGTTTATTTTGCTCTCGTTCTTAGCATTTAATATTGCTAAGTCCTTCATAGGTATGTAGATTTTTTCCACGGTTTTTTTTTTAATAACGTGTGCGAAATCGCGTTCATGTGTAATCGGATATAGCCCGGACAAATATGATAGAGGAGGACAGACATAGGACAAGAGAGAGGGCATAGGGTTAAAACTTGATGGTAGGTGAAATACTCCCATATAGCATCCAAACAAGATGCGCTGTCGGCCTATTTTGGCTTTGGATATTCGGATGTCCACAGACTGAAACTCGATTGACGAAATATCGAAATTCCTACCACCCATTCAATATCCAGTTTTCCATACGAAGTCCAACATGTTTTAGGAATAAATTGTGTAAAGCTTTCACGGCTATCGTTCAGCATATTTCGGGTTTTTCGAAGAATTCTTCGAGCAATCCAGGAGTTAACATCTGATGATGCCGTCCGCAGGTGATGGCGAAACATCGAGAACCTCTTCACGCTCACGTCGGTCGAACAGCCCGAAAAACAATGATATGATCTTTTAGAAACTCTATACATTTGGACCCGGTGGGGATCGAACCACTATCCATTGATTAATTAAAGTGGTCCAAAATCCACATGATGGAAGGAATAGCCCAGACATACCATAACATCTAAAAAAGCTGTGCTGTCGATTTTTTTGCTTTGTAAACAATTACATTAAATTACTGGCAAAAAATAATGCCCGACGAAAATCAATAATTATATTCTCGAGGAAGTCAAAACAAGTGCTTCTATCTTCTAACAATACAACACGTTTAATTAATGAAATTTAATATTGAAAGTTGAAATAATTCGGTATAACGCCGAATGGTAAAGTAACATTAGAGTACGTAACTGTTTATTCAAAACAACTCAGTTACGCAACCTACATATTTAATATCATTAATTGACCTTTAGTAAGTTCTCCTTCGGCCGGATTCTCTTCCCCTGGGAAGCTGGTATGCTAAGCATTTGCACTAACCATTAACTCTATTGTTCGTCCTCGTAAACCTATCAGTCTAATGTTAAAGTGCATCTGAAAAGAGATCTCGTAAGCTCCTCCTAGACATTTGCGCATGCGCCAAAATTGGTTAAAGGCTTATAAAAGCTGGAGCGCTAAACTTCAGCACCATTCTCGCCAACATAGCAAAGGACAGAAGGAGGAATAGCTCGCTATCTTTACTCGGGAGTTGCAAAGTTTTATAAGTTTTGTGATAGTGGATTACCCTGCGATGTGAGTATTATATATTACGTAAAACATGTTTAAAATGTTTAAACATCTAAATTATCAATTTTACCGGTTTAAAACGCAAACTACTTATATTGGTTAACTAATTTTTAATTTCATTTAACTACGACCCGACGTATCGGATGACAGCAGCCGTGATCTCTGAGGGCCTTATATATTTCTCGTTTTAAACCGGTAAAAGTGAATAATTTTATATTTTAACAAGTGTTGTAAAGAAACAGGCAATATTTGTTTAAACATATTTTAGGGACTCGATTTAAAGAAAATATTGAATAAATTTGTGAAACATGTTTTTATTTGTAACTAGTTATAAAATTAATTACTTAAGTAATAAAAAATATTTGGAGCCATTATCATTTTAATTGGAAATAATTAATAGTTTCCGGAACGACGTTTTCATTCCTATCGGCATGCTCAGTATTAATTTAAATTCGTTTTAATTTGAATAAGAAGCTTTGACTTATTTAATAAATAAAATGTTAAAATATCTTAAAAATCTGTTAAGGTTTGTAAAGTACAAGCATGTGTATTACAAGTGATAATGTATAGGAATTGAATATAGACAACCTACAATACACATTACCGCATAAATTTAATCAACAACAAAAAAACGAATTTAGTATTTGCGTAAAACCTACTATTGCTTATTACGTAGATAATAGATGTAATTTTTGTACATTTGACGTGTTATTTTTAGATGAGACTCGGCGACCGGATTAATATGAAGAGACCTCGTCCTTGCTTTCTGTTCACTTTAATTATTTTTGCATTTTCATCTTACTTCACGGAGGTAAGATTCATTGGATTAAATTTATAATCTTGGTAGAATTATTTTTCACCCTAAACATATTTTAGGTAATAGGCCTCCCTACTGAAAGCTCTTCTAATTCATGGCCCTCGTTCCCTCGAAGAAATGTCGCCGCGCTGGCGAGAGATGGCTATCTCAAAAGTGTTGCCAACAGTTACAAAAGAAGTATCTCTACGTTGGCTAAAAACGGAATGCTCCCTACATTCAGAGCTCCTTACAGCGACACTGATCAGCAACAGCAAGACGACGAGGAAGCGCATGAGAAACGAAATCTAGCGTCAATTGCCCGTCTGCGCAGCTACACGACCATGAAGAGGAACATCCAAGCGTTAGCTCGAGATGGTTTTCGCTTCGGCAGAGGACAATACACCCAGTCGAACGAGAAGCGGAATATCGCAGCCCTGGCTAGAAGCGGTTTAATTCACAAAAGAGACGAGCTAGGCGAAGAGTATTACCTTCCGTTCTACCAAAACCAAATACCTCCACTCTCAGAAGTCGAAGGACCTTATGACTACAATGAAATCTATGATTACCAGCAGTCTGTTAATCCTGATAGGTTTTCTCCAGTTAAGCGCAGTGATGTCAGTATTGTCCCCACAGATAATATGAACAGACTCGACGATGACGCTAATTGGTATTTTAAACGGGGAGTAGTAGGGATGCCAGTTCACGGACTGTACAGACCAATGTTTATCGATAACGGAAATAATCGTAACAAACGATCTATATATTCTATCCCGGATGTTATTGATCGCAACGATATCAATCCTGATGACTACGAGACAGAGGAGGACAAGCGATCTGTTGGTGAGTTTTAATCGATCCACACGTTTTAACAGTGCCTTTTAATAATTTAAACAAAACCAAAGATGGCTATTAAGCGATTGTTCTTGTCACTCTAATTCGTTCTATTCAAACTTTGTAATATTTTTGTGATTATTACCTTTTTTGAGGCCTCAAAGCAAATTAATTAGAACCGGGCGATTTTTTACAGTTAATAGATTTAAAAACGTCATCGAAGGTCTATTAAAGATTTTACAAAAGAAACGAACAGTGGTCTATAATATATCTATACACTTTACAAAATGTGATCAGATGTAATGACAACGCGTCATGTTGGGAGTATTCTTATGGTATCTTCATTGCTGTTGCAGATGACGAAGCGCTAGCGAACTTTGAAAAGCGTCATATCGGTTCGCTAGCTCGATTAGGTTGGTTACCGTCGTTTCGATATACGGGCGGACGGTACAGTAGGTCGGGAAGGGCTAGGTTCCTAATACCTAGCCAAGCGGAAAGGTCTAGATTTCTGGTTATCGATGTTTAGTTTGTGTTAGGCTGTGGTCTCCTACAAACGCGTAGGCTTTGCCTATTGCCACGTACTACCACTATTGTCTCCGCCACACGGTGACCTGCGCGTATAGAAGGAGTAACTGACCAATAGTATTTTGTCATTTTGGTGCGGCGTTACGCGTTGCGCTGTACGTGGCTGGTGTTTATAGCAGACCGCTTAGAGGAAACATGTGTTAGGAGTAGAATATGCTTTGATTGTGCTTCTGTGGGGTGGAGGGCACAAGCTGGATGCTCTAACTCAGTAGGATTACTCGAGCACTACGTGTGAATAGTTTTAGATAGTGTTTAAGTGTTAGACTAGTAATTTAAGCATGTACTGGTTAGATGTCTAGAGCTTTTGGAATAATACATTATTATAACAGGCCTTAGTTTACAATTCCAATAATATCGGATAACGCGAAACTCCTTCGTTATTAAAGTTTTAGTTGGAAAATTTGTTGTGATTAATTGTTTAGAAGTGGTTGTGAATTTAAAGCTGTGTTTAATAATATTGTTTCAACAAACGTATTTGTTTTACAGGGAGCATTCCATTGACGAGAATTTCGGGACTGGGTAAGTAGTGTATAAGTCGGTACAATATTGCATGAAGAAATTCGAAGTAAAACAGTTTTGATAAGAAAGAACTTTAGTGCTTATATTAATTATCGTCGAAATCGATTCGCAAACGACGAAGTTATACGGGAACAAAATAAAAAATATTGAGAACTTCTTTTTTACTGAGAGAATGTATTCTTTTTTTATAATTTATCTGATGGGTGGTAGGAATATCGAAATCCCGTCCGGGTCATGAAACACCGTCCAGAGATGAAAAAGCAAGTTTTACCCCATTTCAGTTTCAATCAGTGGATTTTCCGAATATCCAAAGCCAAAATACGTCGACAGCGCGTAAGCTTAGATGTTATGTAACTAGGGTATTTTACCTACAATCGAGTGAATCTCATGCTTATAGCAACCCCCCATGTATAAATTAAAAGCAAAGAAAAATTAAGCACGTCATTTCAAATTGTCTCCATGTTTTAGGCAATATCTCTCTGATTCCGAAGCTAGCTCATTCGTCGATCCAAACAACTCCGACCTACCGCCGTCGCCAATATCTTCTCACACGCACCCGACCGGCCGGTACCTCCACAGAACGCTGAACGACCTCCCCAACGAAATACCAACTGGCTCCAAAGACCCGTTCAACAAAAACCGCTGGCAACACAACAAGGCACTACCTAAGTTCTACTATTTTCGATCGCTCAAAGTACCATACCACTCGTCTGGGAAACGATATCTTGTGCTTCCAGCGGTAGACAACTTACTCATGAGGAAAACTTATAACAATAGCTTACCGAGCCGACGCAAAAATCAGTAGCTATGCCGCTGTCCGCTGGGTGAAGTCAAGACACGGATTTAAGCTTCTTAATAGTAAGAGTATATGTTACTGACAATATGTAGAATTTGGGTATTCTTTACAATTACTTGGCAAGGTATAATGTTTGGCTAATAAACATCGGATCGTGGGTTCATTAACCACCGAATCCAACGTGTTTCTTATAATTTTAAACATGTTGACTTAGTCTGGCAATCTGGATAATGGGTGGTAGGAATATCAAAATTCGAAAGTCACGAACCACTGTCCAGAGATGAAAAAGCCGTGAAGGTTAATTACATGTCGGTTTCAGTCTGTGGATTTCCGAATATCCAAGCCAAAATAGGTCGAATATTCCTGGGTATTTCACTTACCATCAAGTATATCTTGTTTGTCTTCCTCTATCGTAAAAAAATAGCATACCTAGCTGAGGGACACAGTAGGTACGTTTTTAATCAATTTTACTAATTATTTATAGCATTAAATTATTATAATATTAAATGTCAACTTCGTTCAAATTATTTTACTACAAACTTGCAAGATGTATAATATATATGTTACAACGGTTTTTTTTTAAATGCCTAGGTACAGTTAAGTTCATATATAATTTTCACGAATTCCAGCTGTTGTACAGAATGACAGATTTCACACATTGCCCGTAACATATAAAATGCTTGTCACCTGTAGCTTCTTCACACCAACGGATGAACGGCGACCAATAAATCAGGGATCTTGGTACTAGACAATAATCTAGATAATAGTTAATTTTGACAATGTTGTGACTATATTTTTGTGATGGAGCGGGTATCTTACAAAAACGACTTTGGCCAGCGACACTTAAAGGATTCTATATAGGCTAAGTAGGTTTGTTGTCAATCGCAAATATTTACAAAATTCAATTAGATAGTTAAATCAACGTGTCTATTATATTTATATATTAAATTAGTGTAAGTCATTTTTTCTGTTTAACCAAGGATTTATTTGTTACGGTCTCTTTATTGACTAGAATAAGCTGTGTTTGACAAATAAGATATTTCTTGCTGGTATTCCTTGAACATTTTGCTTAAAATACTTCTGACAATAAATAACACTTACGCGACCATAAAACGATAATAACATATTTATATCTAATGAAATGTATAAGTAATTTCATCTCTTCCTTAGGTCTACGACTATAGTTCTATAATTATAGTGTATTATTGTACTCAAGATTTTACCATATTTATATTGTAAATAAAAATAGTTAATAAATTATTTGAATAAATCAACTCTCGCTATATCGTCTGTTTATTTATTTCTATTGATACCATTCTTCGATACAAGGAAACTAAAAACTATAAAATTATAAATAATCGAAGAACAATAATTGTAAGCCTAAGTAAGTTTCATAATAAGAATTTAGCTACAAGTAAAAGAGAAGCAAGTAGGCAATTAAAAAAAACTAAAAAGTCTGTCTACGCGGGTAGTACACATTTAAATAAAATATATTTAATAGTTTATAACGCGAAATTTACTAACTTATTTACAATTAATTTTAACTACAGCTCAACGTTTCGGATGTTTTTTATATAAAAAGATGAATATAGATACAAGAAAATGGGTGAATAAATAAAAGTATATTTGCTATAGATAATGATTTATTTAATGTAACCTTCAATTAACTATTAATGTTGCTTGAAGGAAACTTGCAGGGACAAACGCTTAGGCCAAGGTACAATCTGAAAATAGAGGAACACATCTTGCTACAAATAGAATATGCAAGATAGATAACCTTCTAACATTATGGATGAAAATTATTGATTGAAGAAATAACTTATAAAAAATAGTCTTCATTTTTCAGTTAAAAAAATGAATTTAAATGATAATAGAAGCTTTATATTAAATACAAAAACGTTTCAATGTCTAATTAATTAGCGTTGATTACGCTTTTGTAAATATCAGTATTGATAAAATGATTAGAACACGATACATTCGAAGCTAACATAAAATATTTTTCGTTTTCGGTAAGATTCTAAAAACTCTAATTTAAGTAGTTGATAAATAATGTTACATAAAGTTTACCTTAATTGCTCCGTGTACTATTGCAAGACGAGCTTGGAGAAGCTGAACAGCGTCCACCATTGCAGTTGGGTAGAAGGAAACCACAATTGGCGGTGATGCTCACGTTATTTGGTAAACATAACCTTGCTGTAGTACAGTCCAGGCATGAAAGACCGGGCTGCAAATGTATGAATCAATCAAGATTGTTCGCTTGTTGCGATTATAATGCTTTTGTTAACACTAGCTATGGTATAATGCTAGCTAGTGCCAGCGACTTCGTCCTTGTAGAATCGTTATTTCTGGCACCAAAATTTGTTTTTATAAACCTCCCTTTTTTGTAATCTTCTTTACAAATTATGGCTGATACCCGACGTACCTACTACGTAGTCAGCGGCCTATCGTTCTTGGGAGTCAATCTTAAAATATAAACCTATAAGATCTTTTTAGATCATTGAATGAGAAATCATTATTTCATTCATAGTGTCTGGGTATCTTTAACCGTTATCGCAGCGCACGTAACAGCAACGCAAAATAGAGAAAGATAAATATTTGTCCTCGTTTTTCCCACATTTCCCAATGTGTCTTCGCTCCTATTTGTCGCAGCGTGACGTTTCCTAAAGCCTTCCTCGATAATATAATAATAAAATAATATTTTTCCAATTCGAGCCAGTAGTTTCTGAGATGAGCGCGTTCAAACAAACACTTCAACTTTATAATATATATTAGTATTGATTCACCATTAAAAGAACTTAGCACAGCCAATCTGAATATTCATAGTTGTAATATATTTGAAACGTTAAAATACTATTTATGCGTTTTTAGTAGTAACTAATTGTAAGAAAATACTAATCTAATTAAATCGATGTAGCTAATAAATGAATATTTAATTATGAAAATTCATAGAGAAAACTTACTTCAGCGTTGAAATTGCATCCAGAGAACCGTATGGATCTTTGAGAGCGGCTGGGAGGTCCTTGGGGATCATTGGATTCTGGGCGACGTGGAAAGAATTCCCTGGAATTGTTAAATAAGCCACCAGGAAAGAAACCCTTAGAAGCGTTTAGTGCGCGCTCAAACGAGAAACTAAAATGGTTGGGCCAAGGGAACCTCCTCTCCTCATGTTGTGGTTGTTCTTCAGCGAATATAAAGTTAACAGCCAGCTGTCGATTAAGATCTAGTATTATAAACTTCACGTTATATTCTTAAAGATAATTCTAGTTTTCAATTTTATTATAACCTCAAATATATTGTTTCAAAAATTACACGTACAATAATTAGACCAAAATTAAATAAGAGAACATGATTTAAATTTAGTAACTTGCCCTTACAAAATAACATCATCATTTATCTAGTAACAAATTGAAATCAATAACACAAAACATTAAGACATTGGAAAAGACTACAAAAGTATGAAGTTAGTGGATTCCCTTACCAATGCTGTAAGTGCGTAGAAACAAAGTTTGTTTAGAGCCATTCTGTTTATGTTGTTGATACGGAAGCAAATGTATGAAACTTTAATTGGATTTACAATATATACTGGAGGTGGACAATAGAATTTGTTTTACATATAGGGTCGGTTAAAATTTTATATACGCTTGTGATTATTTGAGCACTAATATAAATATAAATTACATAACGAATCCCTGAAGCACTTTTGGTACCTTGAGGTGCAAAGTTATTAATCTCAATTCTAAATTTCTAATCTTCTCTTTCTTTCATTACTGGCTTTAGATCTTATTGATATGGATTCAAACAGCGTCTAATAGTCATTTATATATCAAAGACACAAGTAGACGAAGAAGTAGAAGTCCCAGGGACAGTACTACTCAGTCCTTCAGTAGTGATAGATTTTTTCATGAAAGTGAAAGTTTGTATGGAAAGTCGTGGTTTTTGAAGAAAGGACATTGAAACTTTCTTCTTTGGCTTTTTGAGAATAGGAGTGGTAGTGGTAGTGGGAGTGGGAGTGGGAGTGGTGTGAGGTGGAGTGTTGCGGCAAAGTAGCACTTACAACATAGATTGGCTGCGATAAATGCGCAATTACATAAATTAATAAACAGCCTAAATAATTAAAAATTCTACCCCAAGGCACTATCCCACGCGAACGAAGTCTTGCGTTTTATATAAATGTATAATTAGAATACATAATAAAAACATTTTTTTTGATTTTCGAGCAAATAATTTAAATTATTAATTATGTTTGTAGATCCACTAAGATAATGTGCCGTGTCGTAGATGCGGAACGCCACAAATATTTGTATTCTATTTTAAGAATAAGTACACTAGACAAATTTTTCAGATGAATGACCCAGGCAAAACTCGAACCCACAACCAAAAGTGATCGACGACGTCAATTCTTCATTTTTTTATATACGATTTCATGCCTCAAATAGAAATATTGTTGACTTTTAATATGAAAGTATAAGTACATAGCCCTATGTACTACAAAGCAAATATATAAATAGAGAATATATAATTTTCTATAGTACCTTTCACTATGGATTTAAATTATTGTTATCATTGGAAAACTCCTACAATTTGAATATAAACAAGTCGTGAGTAGACAAACAATGTAAGGCTTAGTAGCTGACGACGTCAGTGATGCAGAATATCAGGGCAAATAAAAACATTTTATTCACTTTGTTTGACTTATTTGAAATGGTAAATAAACCAATTTTTTATTATATGAGTAGCTGATCCAGCAAACGTAAGTTAGCTTACATTAAGCCTTAAAGCCTTCCTCTATAAATGGGAATCCGAAACGTCGTGTAGTTGAATGAGAAATAAGTTAGTTATTATATTTCGCGTTTGAATACGTTCAAAAGTGGTTTATTTAAATGTATACTACTACAACAATTTGTACTACTCTACTACTGTAACAATCTAAATGTATACTGCTCTAACAAGACTATACTTGATCGATTTCATTTATACGAACCCGATCCATGTGTAATAAGACAGACACATTTCTATGTCTGTTATTAATTTACACTTAATAATTTTATAACGTTATTGGAATTTTTTTGATCCCTAACCTTAGGATATATAAAATAAAACCAAATTGTATCTATTAACATGTGATTTATTGCTTTTAATTAATTATTTATTTACTACTGAAGTCAAGCTAAGTGGAATAAAGTCTGAAACAAAAATAAGACATTTTTAAAAGAAGTTGAAATTCCAATATAGCATCCTTACTACTATTATAAATGCGAAAGTAACTCTGTCTGTCTGTCTGTCTGTTATGCTTTCACGCCAAAACTACTGAACGGATTTGAATGAAATTTGGTACACATATGGTCTAGACCCTGAGAAAGAACATAGGCTACAACTAGGAACATTTTTATTGGGGGTTGGGGGGGGGGGTGAAAGTTTGTATGGAAATTCGTGGTTTTTTGAAGATTGAACATTGAAACTTTCTTTTATGGCTTTTTAGAATAGGAGGGAATGGGAGTGGGAGTGGGAGTAGGTGTGTAGGATGTGAGGCGAGAGTGTTGCAAAGTAGCACTTACAACATAGATTGGCTGCGATAGATACGCAATTACATAAAATAATAAACAGCCCAATTACTTAAAAAATTTACCCCAAGTGAGTATACACGCCAACGAAGTCGCGGGCACAGCTAGTTTCACTATGTAATGAAAACAAGAAATTGGGTAAAACTTGAACAAGCGTGTGCATAGCATAGTATCTTTAAAAATTTTAGATGTTTATATTAATATATCGGAATAATGATAGAAACATATTTTATCCGTACAAAGAAGAAAACGATTATTTTCACATTTAATAATCATCTTAGTCAAATTATTTGTAGCTCGTATATTTGTCTAGGTGGCTCGTAGTTTTGATTACCTTTTAGTTTTTTTTCAAGTCTCAGAGAAGTAGTTAGATGGGAGATCGAAATAGAGTTGTTTTTTTCTTTCAACTTCTTACAAACCTGTACAATCCTAGTTTGATGATTCATTATCCTCAGAAGAGTTGCAAGCCTCACTGGGATACATGCTGCATTCGCCATTGACGCAGTACGGCATAAAAATACCACAGTTAAAAGTAACGCTGACGTTGTTTGTATTGCAAAGTTTCAAAGTTGAGCAATTAGCGCAGGTCCAACCGGGCTAAAAATAGATAAATAGGGATAAAGAAAAAGGCAGAAATGGACTCACGCACGATGCTGCCCGTACAACTGACTTAGTAGGTGGTATGTACAATAGGCTGTCTAGTACCAGAATGGCGGATGAAAGTGCACCAAGGTCCTTGCTGAACTCCCAACCAGGAGGGAAATAAAAGTCAGGGAAACCAAACTTCGCTGGTGGGATGAAGTTGCTAGGGACTTGGAAACCTCGGGAGTCCAGAAACGGAACAGCATAGCGCGATAGTTAAAATTAATTTGTAAATAAGTTTAACGAACATATTTCGTGATTAAAACCGTTAAAATGTTCATGGCCATCGTTCAGCATATTATTCTTCCAGCAATCGAGGAGCTAACATCTCCTGATAATGCCTTCCGCTCGTGATGGCGAAGCGTCGAGAATCTCTTTTCGTTAACGTCGGTCGAACAGCCCAAAAAACAATGATATGCTGTTAAAGTGTTTATTTAAAAGATTTTCACAGACGGCGAGTTACACTTCTGTTCTACATATTTCTGCTTTTTATTCAGACAAAACAATTTATCACACAGTCACCTCTATTACGTGAAATGTCGAGAGAAAGAAATAAATTCGTTTTATTTTGGACACGACCTTATTACAAGCTACTATTACTCAACAAAAACTTATTTATAAAAGGAAAATATAGGATTCGGACAAAAGTAAATACACATTTAAAATATTTTCGAACAATTTCTTGTCAGTTCTTCTTGTTCGTTACAGTCTTCCTTTTCACATGTTACGAAGGTCTTACATGTGTTATATAGAGTAAACATAGATTTTAAATTTAAAACAGTATACGACACTAGCGGGACTCGAACCGGTATCGACAGCCTTCCGTGCTGTTCAACTTCATTCACTATACTGTGAACACTATGCCAACTCTATCATAAAAAAAACTAATTCTTAGTGGTTTACCTCCTTGGTGACATCACAGCCGCTGACAGATGGCATGAATCCCAATTTCGGAGCCCGACGTGACCTGGTGATGTTGGACAAGCGGTTGAACGAGATCTCGCCCCACCAACGCTTATTGGTCTCGTCCAGCTCGTCAGCAAGTATGACGTTCGCTATTAACTGTTAAACAAAATATAATTTAATTTGCTAATGAGATTTGGAAAATGAAATTGGAAAAGTAAAACAAATGCCTATAATAATGAGATTGCGAGTAGTGCATTCCATTTAGGATTAAGAACATTTGACGATCACTTGCGAAACACTTTAACTCAATTAGAACAACAAATTATGGAATGTTCGAATGTTGTAGATTCGAATTCCGCCAATGTACAAATTTCTTTTCAGCATAGAATTAAATTTAAAGTTAAAATTAAACGAATTACAGCGTTGATAATATTGCATATATAATTTAAGCAAATAAAAATTCTTTGAATATACATATATGTATACATTTTAAACACAAAGAATTATAATTTTCCGACTTAGTATGTACTGAAACTCCTGAAACTTATACATTGATACCATTTCACCAACGAACCCTATGTATCATAATACCATAATTTACAATAAATGTATTAATTATATAAAATAAGTTTACCATAGCGGAGAGCAGAATGAAGCACAGATTACCAAGACCCATCTTCCAGCTGTATTCGTCGACTCAATATAATAGTTGACTTAAATGCGAATTACCTCAATAAAGTAGATGTTATTTATACTAATCATAGGAATAATAAATTTACGAACAATAACTTCATTTACATGTAGGGCTGAGGCTGGGTGAAATACAACTTATTTCGTATGATAAATATTTCTCTATATTTCCCACTATTTATTCGCTCCCGGTAGTCGGAGTATGATGTTTTATAGCTTAAAGATGCAGCACAGCAATAATTTTTTATTTCGAACCAGTAGTTTCTGAAATAAGCGCGTTCAAAGAGACAAACAAACTTTTCAGCTCATTATAACATAAAAAAACACGCTACAGAAGGGACTCAAACCAACGACCAACAGCAAACTGTGTCGTTGATCTATTGGTTGTGAAACTTTTTGAAACAAGCACGAATGGCAAACATTTTTGAGATAATAGACATCAATACAATCAATACAATCAAGTCAATTACATGACAGCTAATTTGTGTTTGCCTTTCAAACGGTAATAAAATATTAATTTTAAAATTTTGCTTGTATAATATTATTTTAATCTACTACATATAATATATAATACTACTGTTTTAACTACCTGTTAAAAAGTAGTATTATACATTTTTAAAATTATTACATATTTGTTTAAATTAAAACAACAACCCTTGAAAAACATATAAATATTTTAATTATAATCGTAGCACGAAGATAAGGCACATAGGGTTTTCAGTGTTCTATTATTTTAACAATACGTGCAAGGTCATATAGTGTATTAGACAAATAAATAGGCTTTAAATTTTGAAATTATAGATTTTTTACTATTTATTCATTAGTACAGTTAACTCCACAAAGTTGAAATAGAAATGTACAAACAATTCAAAATCGGCCACATAACTTTATCTGAGTGTCAGTTTGATCTGAATCTTTCAGTTGATAATAACAGCGAGGAAGAAAAACAATGAAACTGTTTTAAGACATTATTTCCACTCTCAGATTATTAAAATAAATTATTGTACAGCGTGTATTAGAAATAGGTTTTATCATAAATGAATTTATTTCAATCGTCGATTTCTTTCAGCCTATTGCTACATATGCGCTTCTCGACAAATTACGCAATGGACTATTATTAATTTTAGTAGTAAGTTATGTTCTTTATGTTAATAAATTTATTAATCATTTGCAATTTTCATGACACGTAATTTTTTATTGTTATTTTAATATTTATTGAAACACAGTTTTATTTAAACTTGGTTTACTAATAGTTTTATAATTTTTACTACATTCTAGACGATGTATCGAATACTTATAATTTTGAAAGGGAACTATTATCGCCAGTTTTAACCAGCAACAGTAGAGTTTAGACATTGCGAACCAGGAACAAAGGAACAGCGACCACTGTTACAATACAACGAACAACGCCTCTGTACACCAACGCCATTTGGACGGCATGCTAGGGTCTGGTAGCAGCCGATACAGGATAAGCCAGGCTGAAAATAAAAAATGACGATCAGAAAAAAAATATAATAAAAGAAATATTTAATATTTTGTATTTAAAAATTAAAAAGGAATCGACACGTAGATGTGGGGACATCAACTGGGGATACTGGTTCATGTTCGAATTAAAAAAATATTTTTGTGTTGGTTAGAGCATTCATAGAGAAAGGCTATAAAACATCGCTCTGTGACTAATACAAGCAAAGATACAGCGAGAAATGTGAAAAAATGGGGTAAAGTTAAAATTACATTGCGCGAGATGTGCTTGTTGAAAAAAAAATCGACGATACCGTGTAGGATACGATAGCTCAATTCGTTAGAGCAACAGCACAGAACTCTGTGGATGCCGTTTCAAATCCCGTGTCGTGTCGTGTGATTTTAATTCCAACTTACAGTAGCCGTGTAATTGCAGGTAACTAGAGCACGTCCGAGGGAGAAGAAAAGCCGGTTATTAGGAGCTTCATTGGCGTTCTCCTCTTCATCTGGGCTCACATCTCTAGCTTGTCGCGAACTTCCACCTCCAAACGGAAGGAACTGGCTGAAGAAACTAAACGGATTGAAGGGTAAGGAGAACGGACTAGCTTTGTCCTGCGGTTGTGCTTCGGTTGTTTCATCCGCTAGGATCAAGTTTACGGCTAGCTAGAATTATAATAAATATTTGTAATCAAGTTACACATATTGCAAGTTAGTCTAGTTTTGTCTGTGGTTTACGTGGGTACGGTTGGTTAAAATGCGAAATATATTAGTTGACTTATTTAAAATTTATTGCTGATGCGTCACAGTAAAAGAGAATAGTTTTTTGTAACTACCCTCGGGGAAAACTCAATTATTTATATTTGTTAAGTGAATGAAATAATAAATAAATCCTTAATCTCATTGTTTAAAAAAATCATGGTCACAGCAAATTGCCATGGTAACAGCAGTCATGGTCACAGGACCCCACGACCAGTAGCCACGTAGTTCAAATAAATTAAAACTAAGCTAGCTTAATATGTTTTCTGTTAAACTAAACTTAACTTAACTCTTAAACAACAGACAATACTTGAATATACGTACCAATGCCACGAAAAAGCAAAACAATACGTCTCTCAGAGCCATTTTCAGCACAATTTAAAATTCTCCTATCTCCAACTCTCCTGATTTGTATCTTATTACTTGTTCTAATTAACTCGTCTTATATAGTTCGTTGGAAAATAGAAATGGAAATTTAATTGTATCCAGAGCCGCACAGCGGAGAAAGAACGTTGAATAAGTTGTAAGGATTACGTAAATTGTTTAAGCACGATCATGGCTAAGGACGCATTTTATTATCTATTTAACTGGAGGAACGTTTAAGTATAAAAGATTTAAACATTTATCTACTTAGAACAAACTTAATATAATTCTTATGAGCTAAAAGTTTAAAACTGAGACGTTTAAAGCCGCCCGTTTGTCGTCTTGTGATGGTGCTCCCAAATTGCACCTAAAATTGGTCGAGAGTATTCTGGTCAAATCTGGAAAATTATTAATAATAATGATGACGTCATAATAATGATTATGACGCCATGTTAGTATCACTTTGAAAGTAGGCTCCCCCGTTTATTGGTGATGGCAATACAAGTCGAGATGAAGTTTGCTCTAAAAAGTAATTGTGGTTATATAAAACCTTTTTACTAATTCTAATTTTTCATCGTTTTCCACGATTCTATTAATGTCATTTCAGTAAAACCCTGTTAACGGGTTAAAATGCGAAATGTGTTAATTGACTCGTTTACAATTTATTTTAACTACGGTCCTATGTTTACCAGTCCCCCACGAAAGCAAAACGTCGGGCCCAGTTAAAATAAATTGTTTTGTTTGTTGTATATTTCGCGTTTTAAACCTTTATAAGTATACATTTGTACTACTTGCGTATACTGCAGACAATGCTTTGTCGAATTTGTATTAATCTTCTATAAATACTTTGTCTTTTTATTTCATTAATATATTAAAACAACTAATGATATAAAATCAAACAATGTAGCTTCGCTTGTTTATATCACTTGCAAAGATATTAACTACGAGACTACGTCTGAACTTTTTGAATTTGGAATTTATCAAAGCTCTCATGTTCAATTACATGAATTGTATTAACTAGAACCCAGCAAATATTATCTATGACGTCACTGACTCGACAGAGGAGCCGAGATAAGGCTGTATAAACAAGTTTTTGTATTTCCTCTTAGAGATTTCACGCTGAAATCGAGACAATGGACGTCGTGGGGCTGTTATGCGAGTGTTAGTTTGCTGAAACGATAAACGTTATATTGGTTGGAGTTTCAATGTTATGTACGATAAATCGTAGAAACTCCATCTATACTTTATTTGTTTCTTTACTAATAGAAACTAAATACTGCCTATAGTTTACGCGAGTATATTATACATTTAAATAAAACTTATACATCGCATTTAAACCGTTAAAGTGATCTATTTAAATTAATAGAAACTAATCAAAAGACAACATTAAAATGAAATTCAAAATATATTAGTTTACATTAACAACGACCCAACGTTTCCTTTGTAGCGGCCCTGGTCATGTTGGGGAGTGAAGATGGTGGGTGTCCCTAATGTCAGTCTTTCTATGCTAGTGCCATCTGTTTCGGAGTTGGTATTTGGAGAATCTGATTCCTTACAGATAATTGTTATATTTTGCGTTTTAAACCGTTGAGAGTATTTTATTTAAATGTGTTCTAGTCGCGTGGTAGATGGTAGGTCAAATACACCAGTCCATAGCATCTAAAAAAACCGAAAATCGAATCATTTGTGGACGGTGGTTCATGACCCGAACGGAATTTCGATATTCGACAAAGTTCAATATAATTCAGAAAAATTATAACTTGATTAGAAAAATGACGAACCCGGTGGGGACCGAACCCACGACCCGTTGATTATAAGCTATACATTACCACTATTACACTAACGAGTCCGTTACTATATGGTATATATAAGTATTTTTCATTTACGAGATATGTGTATCTTCAACTTCTTCGTGTGACGGGGGTATTTGGCCTCCGGAATTTTCATTACGTCGGGCATGTCCTTTTTACAACTGAGTGATATTTAATTACATTCTCTACAAGGAATGTTATATCTTTTTGTTGCACCTACAACTATGTGTTTGTTTTCATTTGTTTTTGTTCTACATTCATGCAAATTTTCTTCGATTAGTGAAAAGTCCCTGAAATATTTTTTATTATAGTGCTCTGCAGCTTATGTGATGAGAACTGTAGGTCATTACCTACCATAGGTACCATATATTTAACAGAGTAAATAAACTACTGCTTTTACATGATTACAGTTTAATAGATTGGAGCATATAGAAATACAAATAAAAATAATATTTTTAAAAAAAATAGGTAGAAGCATACAGAAAAAAGTTATGAGGAACAACATTTAAACAAATCAAAGGGATATAATAATATATTACAAAATATTGGACGGAAATTTTCACAAGCCATGCCACTTTTAACGGTTTAAAACGTGATAATAACTATGGTCCAACGTTTAGAATGCTTTGCAACAACTGTGGTCACGTAGGGATTGAAAGTGGAGGATGTCTTCAATGTCAAAGTGTCTGCTACGCTAGCGCCATCTGTTTCATCGGACACCAAATGCATTACATCCGAAACATCTGGCCGTAGTTAAAAATGAATTGTATATAAATCAACTAATATATTTCGCGTTCTAAACCGTTAGTCTTTTGTTGAAATGTGCACTACTCGCGTTTATTGTCTGTAGAAATGGGATATTATCTATTAAATTACTATAATAAATATTTTTTAACGATTACTATTATCATTTACAGAAATCGTGTTTATTTTTAATTTAAAAACGCCTACTGTATTCTTGTTGCAAAATAATTGTTATAATTTACGTCTCTGTGTTTTTATATAGGCGGTAAGATATTAATAACAACAGGTTAGAAGTAAAATCAGAAATCAGTTGCGAATCTTTATTAAAGAAGACATATTACAAAAATATTTAAAGTTAGGTGACTTGAGTGAGCATAACTTTTTATCTCAGGCTGTTGTCTAAATTATGAGATAAAAAACGGTTGTTGATGAAATACGAATAACCATTCATATTGTGTGCAAATTTTTCCAGGTTTTATTTTAAGCTGGAACAGCTTGAATCTCGGGTTCTACTGGAACTTCTGGTGCACATTCTGCGCTGGGTGTGGCTGAACATTCACCCAGGTTACAGTAGGGCATGGTAGGGTCAGTACAGGGCTTTTCAAGACCACCGATTTTAGTGCAAACAAGTTTCGTGTTGCAGTCGAGACAAGATGCACCTACTGTGGTGCAAGGTTTCCATTGCGGCATCCATGGGAATTGGGGCACCCATGGTGGGATCCAGGTGTTGACGGCAGCTCCGGCTTGGACTTGCGCGTAACCGGTAGCAGGTATAGCTACTGCTGTAGCTACCTATAATTTGAATGTAATATGTAAGTTGAGTAAAAATAATTCTGCCAATATTTTTAAATAAATTCTTCACTCTCTTGGCACTGTATTATGAAGTAAGTAATTTTTAAGAACCTAAGTGGAACCAAATAAAACAATTGAGAAATAATTATATTATTCTGCACAGTAGTAGTTAAATAATATTTAACGGTTTAAAACGCGAATTCTATATTATGACATCCAATTCCATTCCATATTCAGACCTGTTATTGACAGACATATAAAAATAGATGAAGAAGTTCGAATCAATCCGTTAAAAGTGTTTTAATTAATGTGCACAACTCGCGTAAACTACTTACCAATAAACAAAGAACTAAAGCAATTTGAGAAGACATTTTGTTAGCTACAAACTTAGTTATATCACAAACTATTCGATAATGAAACCATTTCATTCACAATACGTTTTATATGCCCCTATGTTTGAGATGGGATTACAGTAAACAACCAAAATAGATACTGAGATGGTTTTTCCATTGGAAACGAATATTATTCATCTGATAACGAATTTTATCTAGAAAGGCTTGAGATGAGAATTATTGTTGTCGCCTGAATAGGCTCTTTTGATAATACATAACGATGAAATGATATTTAGAATATAATAAACTTATCAATGAAAATTTGGCATGTACCTAACATTTTACGTGAATCTTTCTTTACGAGAGATGAAGACGAACAAGCATGGGCACCAACAAAAAAACCTCCCAATCATATCTCATATTATCACATCTAAAATGTGATCCTATCATAGCTTGAGACGTTTTAGAACACATGAAAACGTAATCTCCCACGAAACCACTCATTTAATTATCTACACTCAAGGGAAAATCAATAAAACATACATAAACATAACCCTAGACTCGCCGGAATTCGAACCCACGACCTTTCGACTATTATCGATATATTGTTGTTGAGAAGATTTAAAAACTTAGAGGTGTTTATAATAAACAATTAATTTAGTAATTAATTTATGTTATTATTCATTGAACTCCTTAAATCCTCCGAAATAAGTTCTTGATACTGATTTTTTTGAATCAAGGTAACCTTCTATTTTTTCTCTACGAGCTTATCCATCAGTTACAAAAATCCAACACGAGCTTTTAATTTTGACGCTAACTGAACAAACCCTTTTTTGCTGTCTCTACTTTAAATGCAGAATTATCATTTTGTAATCATGTTTACGAGACGGCAGCTGTTTGCGCAGAACATAAACATTTTTCTCAGGATTTCCCCAGAACAATAAAGCGAAGTCTTAGTAAATCCTATTTATTCAAATTAGACGTAGGTACGTTTCCATTATTTTATCAATTGAGATTAATTTTTTGATGCGGATAGGTAAGTAAAAAATGATAACATAACGATGTATGTGATCCTGGGTAAAGCTAACATTAATTAAATGTCGGAGGAGGACCAGACAAGCACTTGATGTTAGGTGATATATCCCAGCCTTAGCATCTAAACAAGATGCGATGTCGAGCTATTTTAGCCTTTGGATATTCGGAAATCCACAGACTGAAACGGAAACGCGATTATAATTCACGGCAAAATTATATAATTGAATTATAAGATGTTAAACCCGGTGGGGCTACACCAGACCCACAAATTCCTTTGAAAAGTCACGTCAATTCTCGAAAAACTACATACCTGAACTAGACTATTAACTACTTGTTACCGAAAATATTTTAACTACTTTATCTATATTCCTTGTAGAGAATCCGACAACCGACCGACTGACCAAGTGGCAAAGTTGACAGGTCTCAGTACATCAACCGCTCTTGGACGTGATAGCATAGAAGCAGCTGGTCGACTTGGCAGTATTAGCATGAAGCAATTCTTCAGTAATGATAGAATAGAATAGGTTTAAATCGCAACAGTGTAAAACTCTTCGTGACAAAATAACATTCGCTTATTGTATCAGAATCGCTTCTTGTTGTCCCAATCGACTCTTGATCTGTTCAGCGGAAACGCGAGATAAATTGTAAACAGATATCGCCATTGATCAATAAAAGGATGTTGATAAGCAACTTAAGGTGAATCACGTTATAGATCATGCTCAAATTGCGATAAGGACATTTCATGTAGTCACAAATTTAAGAATAAATATTTTCCAATAATAACGAGCATACGTGCCCTTCCAAATATTAAAATTACACCATAGACATTTTTAAGACAGAAAAGGACAGACAACCCTATGTTCACTTCATAGTTGAAATACCCGAGCCATATAATACCTTAAGCGGATGCGCCGTCGAACTATTTTGGCTTTGGAAATTCACAGACTGAAACCGAAAGCTCCGCTTGATGACTTTCCCATCTGTGTGCGGTAGTTCAAGAGCCGGACGGAATTGCGATATTTCTATCACCCATTTAATAGTTAGATATCCAGGAGAGATCTAATTCGATTAGAAAAATGTTATACCCGGTCGATCCCATGACTAGTTAAGAATTAGCCACGCTATTGCTGCCATTACACCAACGAACACGTCAAAAAGTCTCTCAGTATGTTTTAGTGAAGTATACCTAAACAAACTTAAAGATAACGCAATGAGACGATTAAATCTTGTTAATGGAAAATCCGTTTTACTTGGCTTCCCCGCTTTTTTAAACCCAAGAAGATCAAAAAAGAAGATGTCGATTGCCTATTTTGTCTGTGGTATATCATGGAATTTCGATAAAATTTATTTTTAATTTTAAATTTTGACCCATTAAACTTCTACACTTACTAAAAGTGTCAGAAAAGTGTTTATTGATTTTGGAAACGTATTGATCCTGGCAGAAATCGATCTCGCGACCAGTTAATTATTGCTACCGTTGGACAAACGAGTCGGTTAATAAAAAGTATATTTTTTAATCTTATTACTACAAAAAATATTAGGAACATCATCATTTCATTGTCTTTCGGGCGCCTCGATGGCTTGAAGGATTCTTCGAGCAATCGAGGAGTTAACATCTCCTGATGATGCCGTCCACACGTGATGCCGAAACGTCGAGAACCTCTTCTCGCTCACATCGGCCGAACAGGCCGAAAGATCGTCGTAAAAGCCTTACACAAATTAAAAAGCTATTATTTTTTTTAACAATAATGCTATATTTCATAGGCAACCTAGCAAAGGGTAGTTTGAGGTTTGTGTCGTGTTTTACTAACACTTATTAAGTAGTTTGTAACATATAACTAATTGGTTGGTCTTTTAAAAAGAAGTTGCTTTATACTGATTACAAGTATTCATAGAGGAAGGTTCTTATCACCGGTTCACGTGATAACAAATAATATTCGTCTGACTATGCTCTTGAGTATTATTGTGTTCTTTTAGAGATCATAATTGTATTGTTTGTCTTTAATGATTACAAGTAAGGGAACAACTCATAAATAAATTTTCAAACAACGTATAATATAAACCAACATAGGTCTGTAGTGCATTTTAATTAGATTTTATAGGGGTTGGGTTTGCCCATTTAAAGGAAGGTAAACTAATCTTCCATCAAATGAAGCCTGTGCTTCTTTCTCCTTCTTTCCAAAAAGCATAACAATAATCTTTAAATGCTTATTTGTGTTTATTTACTACATATTCGTGGCAAACTTAATTCTTGGTTTCCAATCTCGATTGATATATTGAAATGTTACGTTTGCACAAAAATCTAATTACCTGCTTGTCTGTAATTAAAATCTCTTGAAAGATCGAGATATCCTAGATCCCTAGAACAATTACAATTTATTTTTTAATTTATACTTTTTAAATTACATACTAGATTACAAACATAATCCAAAAATGAATTTTTGATCAATGGTTCTTCAACTTAGACTGATAAATTACATGTCAGTAAGTGATGGTCAATAAGCCAATTCCTGTTCTATAATAGATTTTGAGGAAATGTACATATTTATTATTGAGACGTAAACGTTTCTAGTAAATATGCATCACACTTCAACACTAAAGGTTGGGTAATATTATTTGTTTGTTCCTACAAACAGCTTCAGATAACGTCAAACTCTAACCGTTTATTTTTGACGTTACACTACTCGTATGTAGTTATAAAGTGTTAACCATAGGAATAAAAGGTTTTGATAGGAATCTTAAAGAAAACTACATTCACAATTCTGTCGTGTCTATAATTTTTTACCTGATTTAATAAAATTTCATCTATCCGATATATCATAAAAAGGTTTAAATATAATTTTTATATAAAGAAAATAATATTGCAACCATAGGATCATATTTTGATAGAAGAGTATGCCACGATATAAAATCGAACAAGATGCATTTTAGCCTTTGATATTGCGATGAATTGAAACAAAGATTTACCTACACGTTATGACTTTTCCATCTACGGTCGTGTTGGATCCAGAGGGAATCGAACCAAACACCCGTTCATTAATTATGCATTGGTAATTCAAGTATTACGAAACATAGGGAGTGGGGGTCTTTTTTGCTTATTTTGATGACATGGGGGTAGGGAGAGTCAAGATGATGATACGTCATCGATTTTATTTACTCTGAATCAACTCTTATTTTAAAAATTATAATATAAAAAATAATTTTTAATTGAAAACTGTTTCGTAAACACGGGGGAGGGGGTAAAGCCTTTCCTTCCTTTTTCCATGACAAGGGGGATGGGGGGTGAAATATCCTTCTTAAACGATTGTAATTATCAAAGATATTATACACTTTTGAAAACAATCGATCAATATAAACAGTTAAAAAGATACAAAATCTTGTTTCGCCCGTTTCGTCTAATTTTTTCAAACAAATTTTATTTATGACACTATTGTTACATAATACACAAGCAGAATAAAATTTATTATTACAATCTAATTTGAAATGTATAATTCCAAACAAACACCAAATAAGGAGAACATTAAGTTAAATAAAAATATTAATAGAAAAAATCACATATATACCTACACATGTAATAAATATCAATTTATAATATGTATTATTTTTGTAGCAGGACTAATCGATCTTCAAAACGACTATTAAATTCAATACATAGTGTTATTAAGTAAGTGTAATAGTAAATATTATGCAGGCACAAGAACCAGTTAAATTCTAAATGTTTGTTAGAGCAAGGTCGCGTATGAGGTAGAAATATTTGGTCGCTTGACTTATCTGAGATTACTGCTGTGTACATTTTTCGTCTATTGTGTGTTAAGTGCGTAGGAAATTGGGCATTAAAGAACAAATACTTTTATCATATTATCTCGACTATTTCTTAATTTTGCTATGAATATAGCTACCATGTTCGTATACATTTGGGAGCGTCGTAATTTATTGGTTCCATATTATTAGATCTACAGATTTTCTTTGTCCCAAAATAAAAATAATAAAGTCTTTATATACTTACATCCGACATAGCCTTTGTCTATTTCTCTCTGCTCCAATATTTTTTATATAAATTAAGGACTAGTGAACATTTTATTACTAACATATATGTTATATATTAAATCTTAAAATAGGCATAGAAAAAAACAAAATTGTGTAATTTATAGACAGACACAACATAATTTTCTAAATAGCAATAATTATGTAACTCGACGGAGTATAGGTAGGTATATTAAATGTCAAATATTTTTCCGTCCTCCGTCCGGTAAAGCAATTAAAAAAATATTTGAGATCAACATTGACTTGTGTTTCATACAAATGTAACATAGATTGCGGCTTGTATCATTTAGTTCTCCTTGTAGAAAGTCAAGAATACATAGTATTTACCTATATACCAAACCTATATGAGTCTTAGGGGTTTTCCAAAATGAAAGGTTATTTTTCCAAATATATGGGTATAATTTTTTTAACGAAAATTTAAATAAAAATTCAGCATACTTAAATGTCCACTAATAATTTTAGAGGCACAGAATTTTGGCGAGCGATCAATAAAAAACAGATTATTGTGTTTACGACCGTAAGATCCGCGTTTCCGTTTAAATATTTGCAAAATACAAACATCCGTTGTGTATAATTTCATTGTATTAAATTATTGTCATGAGTCAGTCTGCGAAAACATTCTGTTTGTCTTGTTGTGTGCAGTTATCTCTTCGGCAGCCATTATCTACGCTATCTAGACTAATTAGAAGCGTGTATAAAAGGACGGTAAGATACTTTTTGGAACATACAGTAACGAACGACTCAAATGAAACGCAAGTTTTAGTATAGTGCGAACGAAATTATATTTTTATTTACGAACGTTTAAGTTAATGCAAGAATGAAGGTTACACTGCTACTATTAATTGTGAGTATAGATTAATAATTTAGTATATAATTTAATTTAAAGTTACTGAATAAACTTTTGAAGCAATTCAAATATAATTAAAAACTGTACAGTTAACGAACGAATGATATCTGCGATACTTAGTTTTTGTAAGTCTGTTGTTTGGCAAATCGATAAACTATATTAACCATAAATTAACTGTTTGAAACAACTATTTAAGCATTTTTTAAACTTCTTAGAGAATTATAGTATTTCAATTGTGTTAGTGAAATTGAAGATATGTATTAAATTATTTGACTAGATAAGCTTCACAGTGCTTTAATAAAAAACAGGTCCCTTGTTTACTTTTGTGTATAATTACGTGTCAGTAATATATATTTATATAGGTATATTTGTAATACGCAGGTAATTTAGCATTCAGTAGCTAAAGTATTTATTTTTGTATAAAATTATTACAGTAACTCCCAATAGGGCATTCCACAACACAAGCCTTTATGATTGAATTCAGTTTGTTAATAACTTATTATTTTCTTTTCAGGTGGGATTCTGCATTGTTAGCGCAAAGTACCTTCCTTATGAATCTAATGACTCAAATAGAATCTTACTTAGAAACAAAAGGTCCGATTCTGAAGAATCAAATTCGTCGGTAGAGAATAGCAGTAATGAGGATAGTGACGATGATAATTCTGCAGAGAGAAAGTTGAAGGAACAAGAACTAAAACTTCATGAAAAGGAAGAAAAGGCTCGAAGAAAAGCTCTAGAACGAGAAGAAAAGATAAAGCGAAAGGAAGAAGAACTCAAAAGGAAATTAGAGGAAAAACGCGAAAGGGAAGAACAAAAGCAACAAGAAAAAAAAGAAAAGGAAGAAAGAAAGCTACAAGAAAAGATTGAAAAAGAAAAGCGTAAAGAGGAGGAACATCAAAGAAAACTTGAAGAAAAACGCTTAAAAGACGAAAGGAAAAGGCAAGAAAAGCAGTTACAAGAACTTCAGAAGGAGGCGCTTAAACCTGAGTCACAAGATAGTTTCCTCGAAACTGAAGAGGAAAATTCAGTTGAACTTGAGGATGTATGGAGACAACACATATATACCAAATATGGTTTAAACTTTGCCAGCACTGCGTTGGAAAAGAAGGCTGCCCTTAATAAGTACATTGAAGAGGAGTTAGGATTACAAGCTAACAGCACAAAGAGTGAACGTCGACGTGCTATTTTGAATCTCATTCAAACTAAATTGCAAAACGATGCTGCTGAACGCGAAGCGATTCGCCAGCAAGTCCTAAGTCATGTCAACGCCGTCACGTTACAGAAATTACGCAGTGATCTAGAAAAGGATATTGAAGATCTAAATAACAAAACTGATTTATTGAAAAATGTAAGCTTACCGTGGGCAGTTCCACTTCAAGAAAATATACAAGAGAAGAAAACATTTTTACAAGCCTTATCACAATTTTTGGGAAATATTCTACCAAACTGGATAGCTGGAAATCCAGCTCAAAATAAACCAGACGAGTCACAAACCAATGAGAATTCACAAAACGATGGATCTAATACAATTTCCTCAGTTTCGGCAAATGCTCCAAACACTGTAGATTCGATAAATGACGCTTCCGGAAGTAAACCTGTTTTAGGTGACATTGGTATTGTTACTGAAGAAGCTGGCAGTTCCATATACAACAATAACGCGGGTAGTCAAAATAGTAATCAAGCATTAGACGACAGCAATGGTAACGTAAACAATGAAAATGAATCTGTTAATTCTGTCATATTAGGTACCGATGAAAATAATTTGTCAAGTGCTAGTCCTACAGATACAGGTGACTCCTCAGTGGCGCAGGGAAGTTCTGATTCTACTACATCAGAAATCAACCAAGTCGCGTCGAACGATTCAATATTAAGTAGCGAAGAAAATAATTTGTCAAGTGCTAGACCTATAGATACAGGTGACTCCTCAGTGGTGCAGGGAAGTTCTGATTCTACTACATCAGAAATCAACCAAGTCGCATTAAACGATTCAAGGCTTTAGCCTTCTGAAATAAGTATATCTTCAGTCAATAACGGAAACGAAGATAATATTGACATTAATAGCGTTCCCGCTGATCAGTCTCAAAATTCAGCAAGTGAAGTAAATTTGAACAAACCATTAACATCCGAAAACACAAACACAGTAGGAAATGATATAGGAACACCTGAAACAGGATCAGGTAATTTGTCAGAAGGATCAAATGATGAAAAGGAATCTGGATCAAATGGTGTCACTTCTACGTCAATAACAAATGGTATTGAGACAAACACGCTTATTTCGAGTGAAAATGGAGTAACCGAAGTTAAACAGGACGGCGCCTTGGTTTCACTAGTTGAAGATTCGACCGGGGATAAGCCGGGAAATGCAGACAGTTTTCCCCAAAATGAATCTAATTTAGATGTGAATAATAATGATGAACCAAACTCAAATCCAACTTTACAAGGTATCGAATCAGGATCGTCAAGTATTGATCTTACTGAGGGTTCAGGAAATAATAATAACTTATCAAACACCATTGCGGACAAAGTATCCAGTGGCGATTCAGTTGATGTTAACACTGCCCTTCAGACTGAAGCGAACCCATCTCCCAACGAAAATTCATTGGCTGATGGAGATTCCCCTAATATAGTTAATCAAGATAATGTTGTAACAGATGCTTCAACTAGCTCACCTCTCGAAGAAAATAGTAACTCAGTTACTGGTGGAAGCCAGACAAATCAAGTTTTAGAGGAAAGTTCTGTAGGGTCCGTAAGTGGCACAACTAATCCCTCCACAGAAAATGTAGTTGAAAATAAGAGCAACATTTCTGGTAGTAACGAACCGTCATTATCGCAGAGTAACATCGATTCGGCTAATATTGCAGAATCAGTAAACGAAAGTACGCCAAATGATAGTAATGCAGTAATCATAAACGAACCGGCTGACTCTACAATAGAAGGCAATACCAACTTAGGCGATAATGCAGAGTCTGATCTTTTGAACAAAAATGAGAGTGTTACGGAAGGCAGTGTAAAGGAAATAGTTATTACTGATAATTCAGCAACAACTGTAATTAGTGAAAATCCTGTCGGAACTGAAGCTACTAACACTGAAGCAGTAGATCTAGTAAATACTGGCTCTGATGTTGAAGGAGAACAAAATACCAATTTAGAATCCGTTGACCCAATCAGCCAACAGGAGGAAAAAGAAACGTCCAATGACGTAAGCAATGCCGTTACTGATCCAAGCGCTTCAAATAACGAATTACAATCAATAAGTTCTGATGCTGTTACCGAACCCGCTTCATCCACGGGAGTTGTTTCAGATGCAAAACAGTCTGAGCAAGGAGTAGCAGAGGAAGAGAGTACTGTTTACGAAAGCGGGACTACCGAATCTGTCTCTTACACTCCCGTTGAAGTCGTAGAAGACTTTACAATAATTTCTGAACCTGGTGCAACGGTTGTCGAAATAGTCGCTCAGTAAAATCTAAATAAACGGATTGATAATATTATAAAACCGTATTCGGATTGTAAATACTAATTTAAGTGAAATGTGTCATTATATATATTATAAAACGTCTTGAAAATAAACAGCATTATAAAATTGTATTATCTTTTGACCTATAATTTACCCTTTAATATTTAGTTTTTGTTTAAAAGCTTAAAAAATATTTATTTTTGGAGCGCTACTTCTAGGTTTGTTTGCATTAAAATGAAAACAATTAAGATTCAAGAAGTAACTTTATTTCGCTAATGACTTTTATAGTATCTAATATTTTGGTATTAAAATAGGTACCTATTGTAAAGGAATGCATAACAGAGGTAATACTTTAAATTCATTTAACTTACATTTAGTCTTAATTAACTTTACAAATACAACACATATGTACAGAATATACAGATTAAAATAAATAATTATAATTCACTAAACTATATTTAAAATAATCACTAAATATTTAACTAAGATTATATATGATGTAATATTAAAATATAAAAAGGTACGCCATTCTGTTTTACATTTTCTAAGAAAAATAATTTAAACAACAATTAAGTTTTTTGTCATATCCAATACTTGTTAGATGCGTTCGCTGGATTCTGATATGTGTGCTGACTTAAAGGATCGGGAATATTGGAAAATGAATACGGATCATTCATGTACTTGTAGTCACTTGGAATGCCAGAAAGTCCCATATTCAATGAGTTATGCGATGGACTCCAATTGGACGAAGAAGGGTCAGCTACCTTGGAATAATCCGTTGGAATTTTCGGGTAATCCGCACCTAACTCTTTGTAATCTTCTGTGCTTTTGACGTATGGTTCCTCTCTTGGCTCTATAATTTCTTCCGCTACTTTTTCACTCGCTTCCGCGTCCTTTGATAGGTAACTGATAGGTTTACTGTAGACATCAGCGTTTGGGTACCTTGGATAATCGTTTCGCGGGACACTAGCATCCAAAAGCTGGCTGTGAGGGGCGGTAGAAGAACTTCCTACGAGATGAGTGAATGTAGAGCCGGATGTGCTCGGAAAATTGGCTGTCTGGAAAGCCTGATTCAAGTGCTGTGACTGAGCCATCAGTTGGTTGTAATTGGTGTATTTTTGGTGGTGCCACGCGTCTGGATGCTGAGGATGGTGTTGCGATAGTGATGGGATTTCACTAGCTGGGTATGGACATGGTATTTGAGGCATTGGTAACGATGAGTATGTTGATAAGGTTGGTGTGTTTGAACCGGTGTGCTTTCTAAGTCTTGCTCGGCGATTCGAGAACCACACCTAAAATAAATAAACATATCTTTTACAAAACGGCCCAAATTATATAATGATAGATAACATGTTTTTAAGAAATAATGTGGTTGTTTGTAGAAAATTTTAGCATCTTACTATTACTGCATAATAGTAAATAAGACACTTAAACGGTTCAAAACGTGATATATATTACTTAAACTTATTTTTAAAAAACTTTATCTACGGCCCGACGTTTCGGCTGCTGCGTATATGTCGCGTTTTAAACCGTTAAAGTGTTTTACTTTGTTACTTAAATGAACTAAATAATATATAAAAACAGATTTATGAAATTATACACAATTCAACACAAACTGATTCATTTTTGTCTGTAACGATTAAAATGGTTTAAACACTCTTTATTTTTAATTTTTAACGCCTAAACTTGACTTCTTTTAATAAAGACTGACGGTTGAATACCTTTTATGTACTATATCTATATTTTTTGTAGATTAATTTTACCTGAATTCTAGCTTCAGTCAGGCCCGTCTGCAGTGCTAATTCTTCTCTTGTGTACACGTCGGGGTACTGAGTTCTATGAAAAGCCCTCTCTAAGGCGTCTAGCTGCTCTCCTGTAAATGTTGTTCTCGACCTCCGCTGCTTTCGTTTCAAGGTCAAACCTGGTTCCGATTCAATGTCCGAAGAATCAGAACCTCTTCCTGTAAACAATAATAATAATTTTATAATGCAAATAAGTAGAAACTGACGCAAGAGCATGGTATCATTTATTCCCTATCAAACGGTTTTCGATATTTATTGATCATTAAGTTATAAGAGGGAGGTGATTGGTTAAAATAGAATAGCTGTCAAAACTTCTTTCTAAATATGTTCTACTATTATTATGTTAATTTAAGAACGATAATAAATAAAGAAATACGACTCGGGCAGGATTTGAACCAGCATCCAGACCGTTCCGTGCTGTTGCTCTACGCTGTGGCTGACCGTTACAGTCCTGTCCAAATCGTGATTTTTTATCAATTTATAATCTATTTTTAATTTATACCTATGTATAGTGCAATAACAAGTGTTCCGATATCATGTCAATATCCTTTGGTTTGTTTTGCGTAGTAAGTATTTACATAAAAAAATAAAACGTTCCCCCTTTTAAATAAAATACTTGTTTTTCCTTCATAAACCACACACTTCGATCTACATGATCTAGTGAATAAGACAAATCCACTCAATTAGCAACAACAAAAGATAAATGTTGGTGGATAGATCAATAATGTGTCATCTTAATGCGGGGTTATAATTTATGTGGCTCGTAGCGATTTGTCTTCATCCGTTTTTTGAAACACGCGTTATTTATTAGCATCGAGTTTTTTTACAGTAACCCACATCATCTTTTAATTCGCCCAAATCAAAAACCGTCAGGAGTCGCGGCGTGGTTCATTTATAAGTCGGTAGCGGGATACGGAAACAGATTAAAAAATATCTCTAACAATACGCGGCCGGCTCAAAAACGATCTCAAAAATGCGGCTTATATTAATAGCCTTTGAAAGAAGTCGAAATTGAATGAAATGAAAAAATTGGGGCTCAATGTTGTAAGGAACACCCAGCACGGCGGTGCCTTTGTCGGCGTCTTTGGGTTCGGGTGACATTTTGGCACCATTCAATATTTTGGTGTCGCGATCTGGATTTATGACATGTAAAACGACGGCGCAAATCCTAATGCGTTTTGCGCTTTTTGGCTTACATTGGAGAAGGTACGATGGAAGAAACATTATAACATTATTTTTTAAATAAAACATCTTACTGTAGATTCACTTGCTTTAACGCACAGTGTTTATTTTCGTTTTGACCACATTTTAATGCGGTACATTTTTGCATATATTGGTATTTGTTAAGACTTTTGTGGCCTTCTGACCGCCACTTGGTTGGAATTCAAACGCAGCTGACTAGACAAGAAGACTACGGAGAGAGCCAATAACGTCACGAAATCTGTATAACTTTATAATGAAAATTATGAAATCCAATCTATAAAGTCTCTGTACTACTGTAGATAACTACAAAACCTAATTTAATTAATGATTTATTTTAATTATTATACAAATTACAAATAGCTGAATTACTACTTCACATTTTAAAACAAGAGTTGCCTGGAAGATATCGCTCTATAGCGATAAGGAGGCCCATTCCATTCCATAAGTTCTTTTTAAAAATGGTTATATTAAGGCTATTTTTTAACATGTACATATATATACTTTGTGTGTGTTGCAATAAAGAAATAAATAAATGATAAACGACATATTATCTCTATAAATAAGAAAGTTTCTGATTGTAAAACCTTAGTCTACTGCATATGGAGTCAGTCATAAACTGATTAGTTACAAGTCCTTAAATCGTATCGCGATTTTAATGCACCCATAGTGAATCGTATTCCGACAATACCGGCTTCACGAGGTTACTTTTACGTTTATGATTTGTTGGAAGGTTTAATGTCGGCGAAAGAGAACAGTCGATTGTGGTTCTGGAGGTGCGAGCGAACGAGGTGATCTTTGCCGATTGCCGAAATGTGACCCGTGAAGGCAAAAGTCATAATTTGGAAGTTGAAAGCGAAGCCGGCTTAACACCTTCATAATCTGGCCCCATTAAAGACGTCGGGCGGCCTTTGTTTCAGCGGTTTGTTTCGTGTTAACAGATGGCCGGATTAGCGAGTCTGCGATGTGGGCGTGCTTTCCTTTCGTTAGGTGTTTAAAGACACCCGCAGAATTAATTTTCGTTGACGTTTTAATACGCGGCCATTAATAAGATCGATAGTTTTTCAATGTCTGTGTGTTTCATGCCGTTTCAGTTTGATGGTTTTGGCTCTACAAAAGCATTGGTAGTAATTGTAATTTAAAAAAATACGTGATACGTTAAATTTATACACTTAAGTTGACACTTAGATAGTTGTCGAAATACCTATAAATATTATTTATTAGTTGAGTAGAATATATTAACAGGTAGATCTAACATTGGTCTAATTGGTCTATTTTCTAATTAATTTATCTTCTGAAACATGTTGGATTTCGTCATGATATCTAGATATAAAACTGGTGGAAAAAATATCGAAAATTCCGCCCCGATCACGAATCACCGTCCACATATGAAAACACCTAGAATTAGATACTTATATAAAAGAAACGCTTTTCCATGTACAATATATCAAAATTTTATTCCGCCCAGGATTTGAACCCGGGGCCTCATGGGTTACAGTCGATGCGCTAAGCATTAGGCCCACGGCGTAGTTTTTGTTTTCATTACAGTAATGTTTGGATTGAATTTCAAATTCTCATACAATAGAAATCTATGAACAAGACAACACATCAATTTATATTTTTTTTATCCAAATCACTGAAGCATGTGTGGTCATCACAGAAATTTTATTAGGGTCCTCTCCGAGGCACATTAGTTGATTCAAATGAGCGATGTTATTAAACAAATGTGTTATTTTATCACTCCCATCTTTTTCTATTCTTTGATACGATGTGAAAGTGTAACGCCTGATGTAACGCTATTTGCAATGGTCGTCATTTGTTTCATTGTTTTCCTTTCGTCGTAGAGCTAAGCGAGTAAGAAATGGTAAATGTACGCGAAAATATTTTTTGATTTTAAATAGATATACAAAATACGAAAGCCTAAATCTAAATAAACTCATAAGAACTAGAAGACAGAGATCCTTGTCCCGCCCACGTCATAATTTGTCCATTGTCATAAACATTTTACGATAATCTTATCATTGATATATATCAACGTATCAGTAAATAAAGCACTTTAACTGTAAAAAACGCATAATAAATTACGCAGTAAGTTTAATTTTTGAATAAGACCCATTGTTTAGTACCATTTGCATAAATAACAGATATTTAATACTTTACATGTAATGACGGTTATGTTTAAGCAAAATTGTCTTTAATTTTGATTAGCTAGGTAACAAGATCGTAGCAAAGACAATTTAGTCTCCAACCTTAGTATTTGTTTGGATTATTATTAACATTGCGAAAAGTATTTAAATATATTCTGTAGTTTGCGCGAGTAGTACATATTTAAATACAACACTTTAACGGATTAAAACGTGATATACATTAGTTAAATTTGAAAAGTATTTTAACTACGGCCCGACGTTTCGAGTGCTTTGCAGCAGTCGTGGTCACGGGGAGACATGTGGTCAGTTTAACCAATACATATCGCGTTTTAAACCGTGAGAGTGTATTATTTAGAAAAGTATTTATTTAAAATGTGTGCTATCTTGTTTGTCAAAGCCAACCGACTGGAAACAAAAGTGAATCCCGAAATCGACAGGTACCGGCGGATTCAAAGTACAATTAATAGGGTAAGTGCATAATGCAACAATGGTACAATCACCAAAACATGTGAATTGTTGTCGTTTCAGCACTATCGAGGTTCGCTGCGGGCGATCGCGGCGCACTTTGGCGGTGACTGTACATCACAGACACCACAAGAGCCGACAACCCATATTTCTTGGCGACAATGACTATTGACGGGGCTTTTGGTTGCGGAAATTGTTTTTTTAACGTGAGAGCCTATGACAGGTTGGTCGATTGGCCGCTCTTAAAGGAAGTTGTGCAACGGGGTTATTTTATTGGTAACAATGAAATAGAAATTCGAGTTGCAAGTTTTATTGTGAAAATATGTCTATAAGGATTTATACACTTTAACGGTTTGAAACAGGGAAACTCCCCGGGAGTCGTGTCATAGTTAAAATAATTGTCAAATAAATTATACTAATATACATCGCGTTTCAAACCGTTTAAGTATTTTATTTAAATGTATACTACAGATAGTATCTATAAGGGTTGCCTATGTAAAATCGTCTAGTACTTAGTCATATGCGTAACCGCTGCCGTGGTTTAATGGTTTTGGATTAAACGCGAGAAGTCCTAGGTTCATTTTTACGTTAAGCAAGTGTAGGTATTATAAAACCTATATTGTTATAGCTCTGAAATTTAAATATTTTATGCCATTCATTTCTGTATTTTAAATTATAAAGATAAACAAAAGTATTACAATATAGATATTTAAAAAAAACAACGGGTCGTAGTTAAATTAAAGCAAATGTGAGTTTTGTATTTCACGTTTAAAACCGTTGAAAGTGTTATATTAAAAAAAAGATTTATTTTTTAATTAGATTGTATCCTTTCTGTAATTATTTTGCTAGATAAGATACAGAAGGTTTAGGATACAAACAAACAAAAATACTTTTTATAAATGACAATCGCATAATAGAATCGGGATATTAATGTAATTCAATGTAGTACCTCCAAGTATTCCGTCGATACTGTAATCCTTCTTCCCATCTGGGTCCCTCGCACCTCCTCGGAGAAGACGAGATATTGAGGATATGCTGGGGGGATCCGAAACGCCCTCCTGAAATGGAAAAATATACATATTTAAGCGATCCCTGAAAAAAAACATCGAACAAATTTTTTTATGGTAGAGGAGAACAGACAGGTTCACTTATTACAAAAATACCTTTAAAAGCTTTTCTCTTATCTCCCACGAAAATATTCCTGGATTCTGTCGCTTCAGCTCCTCAATCCTGGCCTCGACTTCTGGTGTTGCCACCCTCGGCTTCGAACCACCGATCACTCCTGGTCTTATTGACCCTGTCTCCTAAGCAGAATTCTTCAGTTAGCATACAATTAAAAATTCAAATCTTTCAGAAGGTCCAAATTTACTAAATTGGTGAGTGAGTTAAATTCAGTTTCCCTCTGTATGTTATGGGGCGAACACATTTCTGTGGCCGTTCCGCTGATCAGTTTTAAATACAAGCAAGTAGTTAATCAAACTTCTGTGCCCTGCATATAACCAAAACAATCTATTGTTTCCCCGGAATTCGAACCTAGAACCTCGCGTTTAACGCAGTGCTAGGCCACACGTTTAACCAAGGTTAACTATATGATATGTATCTTAAAATATACAATACATAAAAAAATATATAATTATATACTTAAGTAAAAATATGTCATTTGTATACTGTCTATAGTTTACGCGAGTAGTACACATTTAAATAAAACACTTTAACGGTTTAAAACGCGATATAATAGTTAAACTTATTTGAAAATTATTTTTAACTTTGGCCCGACGCTTCGGATGCTTTGCAGCAGCCGTGGTCACGGGGAGACTATAATATGTCAATTGTTTAAACTAAATTTTAATAAAATTCTCATTTAGCGTCACTTTGCTTTGTTTATAATTAATTTAATTCTACATATATAATGGTATATAATGTATTTTACATTGCTTTAATTGTTTAGATACTGCAAAATTTAATACTTATGTTATGAACGAAATTTCTTCAAATCCTTTCGTAGAAAAATCAATAAAAATGCAAATTCCGTTACGACACTCTCAACACCCTTAAAGTAACCACTTGGACGGAATATTTCGATGCAGAAAGCCGCGAAAGTACTCATAAAGCGTAGATAATCGTTTCCTGAACGAAACAATGCTGTTATTGTACCGCGAGGAGACGGGGTGAAAAAGAACCTTCAGGCTCCGTTGAACAGATTCAATACTCAATAGCGATTGTTTACGGGGCGAATGTAGGGCTATAAATATAGATAGGACGCAGGGTCACATCAGATATTGGGTTTTCCTATTGTGATTTCTACTATTGAGGGATATATTTGCCTTTAGGGACCTAAGTAAACCGCCCGTGTAGTTAAATGAAACGTTATCGCGAGGTGTCCTGGATTCGAATCCCGGGGAAAACATAGATTGCTTCCGGTGGAACTATGTAAACCGACCCTGTAGATAAATCGACACGTTTGTTGTTTAGCATAGCTTTAGCGCGATATGTCCCGGGTTCGAATCCCGAGGAAAACATAGATTCGGTCAGGCAGGGCACAGAAGTCTGATCAACTATTTGCCATTAAATAAAAAGCGAGTAGTGCAACGGACACAGAAATGTGTTCGCCCTACGGGGGGAAACGGGATTTCACTTTAGCTTAAATGCTTCCCTATTTGGTAGTAAGACTTCGTCTGTCACGTTCTGACTAACATGAGCGATAGTAAAGCGTGTTATTTTTCACGAATTGTGTTTTTTTACAGTTATAATTACCAATTTTATAATCAACTGAAAGTAAAATAAAATAATAACAAAGAATATTATATATTTTTTAAATTATTATTAATTTCTTACTATTGAACACTTTTATATATTTGTCATGTTTATTATTAGTAAAAATCTATTTCAATAGAAAAAAATCTCGACACGGGCGGGATTTGGTATCAATAGCGTGCCGTGCTGCAGCTCTACGTACGGATACGGTTATAGCAGCAGTGCTGCAATTTTTTCAATTAAATATTTTAAATACTGTCTATAGTTTACGAGTAGTAACATTTAAATAAAAACTTTAACGTTTAAAACGGATATATTAGTTAAACTTATTTGAAAATGATTTTTAATTGGGAGTTTCGGATTTTGAGCAGCCGTGGTACGGGGAGAAAATAAGTTTAACTAATATATCGCTTTTAAACCGTTAAAGGTTTTTTTAAATCTAAATATTTTTTTAAATTTAATTTCTTAGTACATAAAACGGTTATTATATGAAACTTACTTTTCTAGTCAATGAAATAAACTTTTACACATACAAAGAATTCGTATTATTTATTTTTTTATCCATAAGACTTATTTAATGTTAAAAAAAACAAGGGAATTCGAACTCATGACTAATGCATACAGTTCTTTGGCTGTACAAATTGCTTCGCTTTTCTTTATAATATAAATTAATGAATACTATATAACCCTGCTTCACTACAGGTCTGTGGGCTTTGAAATGTTCCCACTAATTTAGTAGCGACAGTGGGGACCGTCGGCATAACGTGGTCAGAACCTAATTTGATCAACGTTGGGCTAATTTCCAAACTAATAAACATATTTTTCACATGTCAATATGGAATGGTATTTACCTGGTATCTGTTGAGAATCTTGGAGACGCAGCCGTGAGAGACACGGAGTTGCCTGGAGATGACGCATGGTCTCACGCCAGCTGCTGCCATTTCTACTATCTTCAGTCTGATGTGGTTCGGGAGTGGACGACCGTTAATAAATAAGCCTCCTAGTTGATTTACTCTGCCTTGTCCTGTTACATAAATTCTCTTTAGTAACAAATAAACCTAGCTGGTTGGAATACAATGTTCCTATTCTGAATTGTACAGACTATATCGAGTTTTAAATCCGTCGCGATTATGTTTTTGTTACTGGTCGTTTATAAAAAAGTGTAGCGTTAATTAATTAAAATGATAGTTACATTATTTTGACATTAACAATTGACTAAAAAAATCGGATAGAATATAAAAAAAAACTTCATCGTTTACTACACCCCGTCCAATATAGGATGGCGAGTTTGACAATTGACAATAGATACGGGTTAGTTTAAAGTCGGTGAAGCTCTTTAAATAGTAATATATTACTTAAGGGAAGTCAAAATCAATATAGATTATATTATACGTAAAAGCGAATACGTTAAATAAAGTTTGTAATGTGCAGTTAAATATTTCCTATTGTAGCTATTCTTTGGCACCCCATTCCTACTCATTACTATAATATGAAGATGTTTTTATGTCTACACATAGCTAAAAATAGATAGGTTTATATAGATCTAGAAGCTTTAAATATATAATTAGTATGGGTATGATATAATGATAGGGTTCGTTATGACAATTACTTAAAGTCTAAAGATTTTGATAAGTTAAAATTATTTTATAAATAGTACACCAAACAAATATAATAGGTATTGTATGTCAGTTAAGTGAAGATTAGGACAAGAATTTAGAATTATTTAGGTAATTTTTTTTTATAAATTCCTACAAGATTTCAGACAACACATTTTTCTAATAAGAATTAATTGTATATTTACAGTTCTATAAAAATCAAAAATACCCTTACCTACCCACACATCCATACCATTCTGGTGACGTTCCATAATGGTATCGCTACATCGATGCCTAACAACTTCTTGCTAACATAAAATCCATAGTAAGAGCACAAAAGTAAAGCTTTACCTAACACAACACTATAAAACGCCACATATAAACATCTGTTTACAATATTTAAACCACATAATTCCTGATCACCGATTTTCCATAATTAAAATGATTTGTTTAATTAACAACGTAAATATTGTGATCGGTTCAAATTTAGTCGACGTTCGTTTGAACAGATTAGTGATGTCCGACTATAGTATGGGATCTATGAAGCGACGGTTTTTTTACTAAAATAAAGATCAATAGATCGCGTTGTCTTTTTTTCTGCGCGTGAGTGCAGTAGAGGAGGTTGTGTAGAACTGAGAGTGCCGGTGTGTTCGTAAAAATAGCGCTGCGGCTGTGTGCGTGAGATGAAGGCTTTAGTTTGTCGGAGTTCGGTTGGTTGTGTGGGTGAGTGCATGGATCACTCCCACTTGTACAAGAGATGAATAGTAGAGCCATGTTTCAGGATAAACTGTTAAGCCGTTAATATAAGCGAAGAATTTGTAAAACTACAATATGTCACAGTAGCAAAGTTTAATTAACATTGTTTTGGTGAATATATTTACGCAGCTATAAGATTTTAATTTGTAGTTAATATTATTTTTCTTTATCTTATTGGCCATTTATAGTGTATAACTCCAATGACAAGTATTTATAGTGAACCGTAGGTAGGTAGTGAGAAAACGTAGTGAGATAAAAACAAAAGACATGCTACGTTTAATGTCAAATTACAGTTTGTGTATAGATTAAAAAACAAATGTTTTTATTTTTATCTAAGTTCATTCAATATGATTAAATATTTTTTTGGCGTCGGCCTTCGTAAATCATATCTCGTTTTAGGTATAAATTTTAGTCGCCCTATTGTCAAACGAAAACAGTCGTATGCGCATGGGAGGGGGAAGTTCGGCCCATAACGTCGGCGCGGATCAAACTATATCCATCTCTTTCTGGTGTACTAAACGAATTGAGATAATACTAAAAAAATATGGCATTTCAATATTATATTGATTTATTTATACAGACAAAATATTAAACTTTTTGTAATTATTGCACATTATTTCAAAATGATAACTCCTTGGCTATTGGTCAAGCCTAGGATTGCATTAAGTCCGAGAGGTCTTGGGTTCGGTTCCCGGGAAACATAAGCCGGATAATTACTGCCTATAATTTAATAGTCTGCAACCTTAGAGCGAAATGAAATGTATTTTTTTTTGTTTTTACTTCTAAAATTTTTTTATTTTTAAATTAATATTTTATTTTAATGGCTGGTAATTTTTATATTTTTGATTTTTAATTTTTTAAAACAGGCTATTATTAAAAAAACAATATTGAACTACAACAGTAACTGATATTTATATTGTTATTACTATGAACAACCTCGCTTTGTGTCCAGAAATCGAGAATTTCAAGAAAACCGTTGTGAAGTGGGTCTCTTAGACCACGAGTGATATAACAAAGAATCTAGAAAAGACTTTGAAAATTTAAAAACTTATTCAAATACGAAAAGTTAAATGAAGAAAATCTCACGCTTTTTTGTGAAAAAATAAAATAAGACTAGACTTACGTACGTAACGTAAAACTCACTCTATCGAAAATACTTTTAAGATAACGGCGCGTTTTGTATGAATTAAAAATCGATAGAAAATTTAAATAAATTACGACACCGGCGGGATTAGAACCGGCATCCTCAGCGTTCCGTGCTCTTGCTCTAACTATTACTAAATTAATAAACAGCGCGTTTAGTAATTTAGTAAGTAATTCAATAAACGACAGACTCAAAAAAAAATCAACTGACCCGTGAGTATGCCATAGGACAAAAATACTACCCTTAGTTATTAACTATTAACCAATCCTTCTTATTCGTGTATTATTTACTATCAGAGCCCCGAAACAGCTACTAAAATATATAAAACCATTTCCACTCGACGTAAAAGTTATGCTTTCCAGCCGCGTAACGAGTTAAAGACGAGAATTGCAATTTTAACGCTGTCTACCGAGAGTTAAGATGGAAAATCGACTTTAATTACCTTAATTAATTTATTCCAAACAGAATTGGCTCCACAGAGTGTCTTCGGGCCATTCGATTTTGCATTAAATTGGTAATTTCCTCGGCACAATAATCTATAACTGTACTGCTTCGGTTTACAGTTTTTGCCCACTTGACTCTCGATCGTGATGCTAGAATTTTCCCACGGTTTTGGAAGTTAAAAAGTCTAGCTTTCCTTTTTTGGGCTGAGCTTCTCCCCGCGTTAAATAGGTTCGGTTTTAATTTTCTAGATTTAACGGTTCGATGCCTTTTTTCATAGAGAGCTGTTGGATTTCGTTACGCTAAGTGAATTTTGATTATGAGAACTCGTTTATGAAGACGTAAAGCTAATTGCAATGATTAAGTATAAAAAAATAGAGTCTGTGTTTGACTGCCTATGTAGCTAAATGACTAAACGTGTTGCCTAGCTTTGCGTTAGGCGAGAAATGTCCTTGGTTCCAGTCCCAGGAAAACAATAGATTGTTCGAGTAGGGCACTGAAGTCGTATCAACTGCGTGTCAGTAAATATAACCGATTAATAAAACGGACACAGATATGTGTTGGCCCGTGCCAGAGGCGGAAGGGAGATTTCACTTTTGAGTATGTGATAAGTGTTTTAAAATAAAAACATAAAGTAAATGTAACATGCGTTATTAACATAGGATATACGTCCACATTTCCTGAAAGTGCAGTAATTTTAAAGTCTTAGTACTCTATGAAGCGCAGTTACATGAATTATAACAAATCTCTTTATTTTACAGAACATGGAAGTCTTTAAAATTTGCGAAAATTTTCTTAATTTTTCCTTAGCGGATTTCTTTCTTTTTTTAAACTAAGCAATGGAAAATAAGAAATTGTATGTTAGTTACTTTTTAAGGAATATAGGATAAGAATTTTTTGACAATTGACAAATACCGAAATGATATCGTTTTTGAATTTTATATTTATAAAACTTTAAAATAAAAAGTTTTTTTTCTCAGAACGTTAAATTAGTTAATATAATTGTATAAATTACTTAATTCTTACATGTTATAATTTTTTATGTATTGGTCTGTTTTCCACTTAAACGGTTTTTTGGAACTTAGCATCTTATTCTAGACGTCTAACTATGATAGTTATTTCAATAGCCGATTTCAGCTCTTGTGCCCTTGACGACTCAAACCCTCGATTCATCCCGATCCCTGATGACGAATGACGAGAATATTATGTCATGATCGACTTTCGGTTTCCTTAGGAATTCCAGTTTCGGAAGTAATTGGCTTTGAACGCTCGTGAGACCAGAGCTCTGTAACACTGGTAGCATCAAACTTATCAATGGATTCCACGGATTGAAATGCTTTTGTGCGTCTTTCAAAATGAGCAAAGATGAGCCGGGGTGATAGACTCTACTGCTTGGTGATAAGGACCAGTTTCCATTGTGCACGTTGGACGATGTTTTTATGCAGTTCAACCTACGTCAGGGACTATCAATGAAGTCCACTATCGTGTTTGTGTTAAGTCATCGGATTTTAATGAACTCTCGATGACATGCTGTACGTGTAATGGACTGTCGGTGTTATTCTTTTTCGAGTTTTTAGCGCCTTTTTTGTGAAGCCGGCCGAAAAAACTCAGTTTCTTTACAGGGAACTATTTTTATAATTTTGATAGGTGGTTTGGGAAATGTTAAATTAAGAATGTATGTATTTGACACTACTTCATGCACTAAATGTGAGAGCTCGTGTCCCCTGTTTGGGGTATTGGGCATAAGGTGACTTATAACTGTTTTGTAGGCACTTTTATATCCCGGGATTCAAACCAAGGGCCTCATACGTAACACAAAACAACAATTTGAAATTTAAATATAATGCCTAACTTATCAAAGTACAATAATTCGAAAATCTTTCTGAGTATAACTATCACCAGGTAAGCACAACAATTATCAACAGATTATGTTTAAATAAAACACTTTGACGGTTTAAAACGCGATATATTAGTTAAACTTATTTGAAAATGATTTTTAACTTCGGCCCGACGTTTCGGATGCTTTGCAGCAGCCGTGGTCACGGCTAAAGTGTTTTATTTAAATGTGTACTACTCGCGTAAACTATAGACAGTATCTACAAGATTATGTAACATTTTTAGCCTTAATTAATAAGAGTTAACTATTGTCAGTAGTTTACGCGAGTAGTACACATTTGAATAACTTGTCTTCTCTTGTAATCTTTTTGACGGTTAACATTCAAAATATAATAATAATGTGATCGTGTTTGCGAGAAGTAAAGTCAAATAGTATTGATCTGTAAACTTAAGTACAGACAGATTACTCTAATTATACACATACGCCGTGCCTTATTAATAAATAAAGCAATTATTGTAGTCAGTGAAATACATGGACTTTATAATGCAGAAGTGAATCAATCATCATTTATCATCGTGTCTTGGATTTCGATGTTCCGATTGTATTTGTTTTATTTTCGTTGGTCAACTTGAATTGAACATATTATTAATATGAGATTATTGTATCTTAATGCAGTAAGTAATTGTATTTGAAGGACTACGTTCATAATTAAGAGAAATTAAAAGAACATCAGCACATTTCTTATCAGCTAAGAATAGTTGTGAGTTCAAAATATTATTGGCAATTGGATAAGTGTCTCTCCATGACCACGGCTGCTGTATAGCATCCGAAATTTCGGGCCGTAGTTAACGTACAAATTATAAACAAAAAAGTAAGATGATAAATTATTACTAAGAAAATTAGGACAACTATTCAACGGGAACAATAAAACTATGGAGCTGCATAGCTTAATTTATATCCTTAGTTATTGCGTGAGGTCCATTTATTATTCACCGGAAACTGAAAGCGGTGGAGCGATGCAAACTCGTCGACGACCCTTTGATCATTCCTGTCTCATTTCCTTTGGATTTTTTGACCGATTTCCAAGTTAATTT